CTTACATAGCCAATGAGTAGGTCAATGAATTGTGCAACTACTATGTGGAGGTTGCCAGGAATGACTTAATATTTAAGTATATAATATACAATAACAGTTCAAAGTTCAATTAATGTTTAGGGTAGCTCACTTATACGCCTACGTGTTAAGTGTAGTTTCAAAATGATTAAACATGTAGTTACTTTTCTTCAAGACTCAAATTGAAGTATTAGGTATAAACTAAAGAGGTTAAAATTAGTATTTAATGAAAAATATATGTGTCTGTTTTATTGTGAAAAACTATAGACTCCCGACGTTTCGGTCACTTCAGCAACCGTGATAGTGGGCAGACACAAAAAACATCTTCTTTATTATATATGTATATATACGAATATTAGAAAACTTGAATATTTCTTATGAGCAAGTTAAGTTATTTTTGATATATAAAATGTATAAAATAAAACTTGCGAACAGTACTAAGAGAGTATGTTTTAACAATATTAAAAGGTTGACAATAAAACAATATCTTGTTATAAATTTCATTATTGCTACAGTTTCAGTTAAGGAAGCTTTTAAAATAATGATTTTGGAAACAGGAAAATCATTCCATCGGGAGATATGATTGCCGAAATAAAATTAGGTTCATTGATAAAATCTTTAAATCAAAAGATTTACTTATAGATTACGGTTATCAATACTGACAGTAGAAAATCAAATACTCATCACTTTATTCTATTTCTACTAGCTTAGGTCCACTAGCTTTTTTTATTTAAGTAAAAAATATTCTTTATTTAGAACTCACTTTTCAATCTTTTTCACATATTTTGTGAGAAAAATTTGATCGGTATCGACCATTTGCCTTTAAAAAAGAGCTTTAAAAAATCAACAGAAGTATGAAATATTTGACAACAGCATATTTGTAGTTACAAATTAAAAATTTGTGTAATGAAGTAAATAACTTTAAATGCCACTAAATTCAAACAAATTCAGCAAATCAATTTTGTTTAAAGAATATAAGAAGTTGAAAAAGTATAATAATTTTGAATTTAGTTGAGTAAATAAATTTTAACGCATTTAATTTCAAGGAAAACTATTTGTTATTTTCAAAGTTTTTATATATATGTATTTCACATGTACATAGTATAATGCTCATGACAAAGCTCAAAATAAACAACTTTGGTCTTCATTTTCAATAATAAATAACAGCAGCATGTCCTTCATAAAGTCCACATATGCTGACTTATAAATAAACTAATAGAAAATTTGATCAACAGAACTGCGATATCCAATATCGTCGTTATTTAAATGAGTTATTCTATCCATACAAATCAAAACTAACTTTCGTAACAATATTTCAAACACCCAGACCATCTTGAAACGTGAAAAATGAGAAATAAAAGCCTTTTCCCCTCTCGTTAGTTTTCCCCTACTCAAGCACCTGATGCTCATATGACATCAAAGGTTGACGTGAAATTATTATTTCCTATTTGCCTTTGATCTTTGCATATGACTCAGCGCGAAGTGTGAATGGGATAAAATTTCGCACAACTATAATTTTTGCACAAATTATGACTGTTTAACATGACTGCATCCATAAGTAGAGATGTAAACACCAGGTATATAAATATTATAGTGAATTTAAGACTATGGGAAAAATACTAATAAAAGATTTATACACACAGGGACTTATTCATAAGGGAATCACATATTACCTTTATAAAAACAGCATTCTTCGATTTGATGGCCCCCATACAGTTAGTATAGAAACATTTTTAGCACCCAGTTCTTAGTTTCCTTTGTATATAACAACTTTAACTATTAACTAACATTGAAATAGAATTTTTGACAGAAAAAACATGCCTATATAATTTATATATATTCAATTCCTCTAACCATTCAACACATTTAATTAACGATCCTACACTATTATTGTTTTTTTACAATTTGGCAGTTGCGAAGTTAGTTTAACACAAAAGTTCACTTAGAAGAATATATCACAGGTAGATCAAGCAACATACAAGCAGGAACTCTACTTTAACATGTAAAAAACTATATTAAGAATAATTCATTTGCTTAACGAAGGAAGAAAAATTTCAATATGTCATAGGCCCTAAAATTGACGCGGGATATGTTTGTACAACACGTAACTTTTATAATAGAATCATCAGACTACAGTTAAACTGTATTATTACAACCATCGGTAGTAATATCCATTAACGAGGAGAACGCAGCAAGGAAGACCAAATCTTCTTTGTCCGTGCACTTGACAGTAAAAGCTTTGTATTTACACAAACAAAACGTCTCAGTTTCCGGTTCAAAGTTCTCTTTCGCGACATTCGACACACCAATATTTGTTCAAATCAAAGCTTTCGGAACGCACGAATGAATTCAATTCATTTTTGTTACAAGTTGACAAAGTTAACCTCAAAATAATATTTTTAATGCTACGTTTAGGATACGATTGGGGTGCTCGCGGCGCAGAAGGAGAAACAGCGGTCTGCGCCGACTCGGCCGAGTACAACCGAGGCTGTCCGAGCCCTACTAGACCTTCTATACTAAGCGCTCTTGGATATTATTATAGCTATTATCAATTTAGTCATCTGCTATTCTATTATACCTGTTAATGTATGTAACGAATGGGTCCTGCCATATTCATATGAACACTGTACAATTACATTTCATTTGCTCTAAGAGGGAATGAGAAGAAATATACCGAGTCCAGACACCGGTATTGATTTATATTCGGACGTGACAAAACAACGATGGTTACCTTCATTGATGCATATTATACGTGATTTTAAAGGTTCAAATATACTAGAGGTTTTTGTAACGTTAATGTTGTTTGCTGATATATGATATTAAAAATAATCATTTGGATTGAATTAATTAATAAAATGATTTTTAACAAAAAATATGAAAAGAATTAAATACTCTTTAATTGAAGCAGATTTAAATAATATTAAGATTAAATTAAAAAGTATTACGGCTATTTCCGTTATTTTTAATATAAATAATTTTACAGGAGACGCTCGATCGTCTTATAAATAGAAATAGGTGGTTCGTGATTACGCACACGAGACCTATATTTAGAATATTGTTATGATTTGCAAAGATGTCAAGATTTTTATCTCTACTAACTTTTATTCTTAACTAAAGTAAAAATGTACAAGAAAACTTCAACTTTAATGGATTAATATAATTGTATAATGTTATTTATGAGGGTAATCGGATTTTCTTCGCAAAACCTTCAATAGATTTATGCAGCAAACTATGTTCAATAAATAAAAATGTGTCAGACTTACAGTTTGTTACAATAAATAACATTTTCTATTTCTGTTTATATCAGGGACTATTTATAAATATGTATGTTTTATGAGGTTTTTTTTCCTTGGTGGTTTATTTTTAGAACTTTCAAAAAATTTTACTTCAAAATTGTTTACATTAAAAAAAATCATACATTGTTTAATTCGATAGTATTTCTAGACTTACATGTAATATTTCACCAATTTTAAAATTTCATTTTTGTTGGTAACTAAAGTAAGGTCCACGTATTTTTTATAATTTTTTGACTATAGAAGGTGTAAAATTTTCAGAATAATTAGAATTATTAAAAAAATGCTTGCTATTTGTCAAGTTATTTCCTCTAATAAAAAAGGTTATTATTTTGGAAATATAAAGAAAAATATTATATGCAAAATGCTTTATAGATGATGTTAATATGTAAAAAAATTAGGGTTAAGTGTCGTTATTTTTATATTTTCTGTTATTTTTATAAATTCTTAATTTTATTTTAACTCAAATATAAATAATATCAAAACTATACCTATAAAACAAATATATTATACTTATAATCAAAAAATATCATTACAACATTTTTCATTTAAGTGAATTCTAAAACTTCTTGGTAATTCTCAAACAGAGACGTATAATTAAATCGTAGAACGTCGACGGCTTTTGCGATTTAGCTACATAAGGTTATACGTTTGATAAGTGGAATGTTGAATTACTCTTAGATTCATAGCCGTCATACACAAGGATAGAATTTCTTATTGCAAGTACATATATGAATAGTTATTGTATGAAATAGTCTTTGACTTCTAGAAATAACCTATTTAGAATTATAATAACATATTTTGCTTTGATCTCAATATGATAGAATTTTATGATTGGTAAACAAAAAAGAGACAAATCGTTTTAAAATTGTATTTTGAAATATTGATGATAAAAGTCTCCTTAGTAACAAAATAAAATAGTCATTCATAATAAGGAAAGTCCCGTAACTGAATTCTATGCCATCTTGTTTCCGATTATATAGCTCGTTACGTTCTATTGAAGGAATATAAAAAGTTAAGAGACTAGTGCATCGTTATAGTCTATTTTTACATTTCTCTGTGGTTAAAGAGCTCTTCAGACTTATTAAGTCTATGATGTTCGTAAATACCCCTTATTTGTAGAGGTTATAGTAAAGTCTTTTATAGCTTTAAGAGCATAGATTAATTATCTTTATTATACTCGTAATAATCATCAATTGATTCTATACTTTTCCTTTTGAATCTCATATCTTGTTTATTATTTAAATAAATATTTAATAAATAATAATTTTTCATCTTAAGCTTATTAAAATAATGTTGCAATTCACTTTTTGTTTGTACATATAATTTATAAATTATATATAATTTTTTGAAATGAAACGTAAAATATTGATCAGTAGCTTCTTGATGAATTTTAATTAAGTATTAATCTTCAATATTAATTTGTATCATATTCTCACAATATTACTGAGGTATGCATTCAGGATTTTGCAGTGTAAGTAATACACATATAAGTGAATCGTGAATTTAATTGAATTATAATTTGTAGTGATTGGTCAAACGGGCGTAATTAGTCCTAATTAAAGCTCAAAACTGATGTAAGCCACATTTAGCTTGCTGGTTTACTATACACGTTTTAGTTTATAATATTAATTTTAATCAATGTTAAAATAGTATTGATTCAAAACTGATTGAGTTGGTAGTGATTTATTATAATATTATAACACTCACCTCGCTAGAAGTCAAGTAACAAATCCTGGAGTCAGTGCTATCTATGGAGGCTTGCTGTACGATGCCATAACGTGAGGATTCACGATCACTTGTGTACTCAGAACGCACGCTGTCTTGACGGTCGAACACACCACTGTAACCAAAACAAAATGGATTTTTGCAACTTACTTCCCCATCTGTTAATAAAGATTTTACATGATAGTCATGTAAACATTTGGAAAGCTATTTCTATTTTAGTTTTCCGCTAAGGAAATCTTATTTAGAATAAGGAAAATGTCTTAATATACTCCTAACTTGGTTTGGATTTCATGATACGAGATAACTATATAAGTGTTAAGATTAAATTAAATCTTTATTTAACTTTATTCAAAATGTTAAGTTTAAACTTATTAAAATAATAATCTTATAAATACAGACAGGAAGTAAAAGTATAAAGGCTTTGTAGGAACGGCTCGACGCCAAGACTACTTAACGTTTCACCTAGATTTATATATTTTTGTTCAGAAAATCCGAGTAAAGGATCGTTGTTTCTCACTAAAGAAAATTAATTATATTAACTATCCTATAATCTGTTAAAATAGAAAATGGTTTTAAATCATCTTAATGTATATTAAATGTTTTAATGGAAAATCTCGATATATATTAATTATTCAAATGATTACCTGCTCGTTTCAATGCTTACTCTAATTCATTAAGCTGTGTTAAAGTAATAAATATAGATGGCAATTGACCATTGTTCGGCAAACCATTCATGAATATTTAATACACGTTGGGCTTTGGAATTTGAAACGTAAGCCGTGTCATTTACATAAATTTATTTCATCGCCAACAGAAATCTTTTCTTAGATTTTTTCAAATGGGACGCAAAAAAGTGAACACTCGTGAATTTGTGAAGCTATCGTTCGTGAATTAAATGAACCGAGTACATTCAACATTATGATATATTTAAACACATAATGTGTAAAGGATAAAAATGTAAACGTATTATCGGATTCATAAACATATTTCTATCGTAATATAGATACACTTATAAAACTTATCTATAAAGTTTTAAATGAAATAAAATACAAGATCATTGATTTTAATAATGAATTGAATTTTTGTTAATAATAACCACTTATTGTAACAACTTCGAAAAGAATTTTAATAAAATTATTTAACTGAGGATTCGCAGAAAATCTCGACAGAGATGTATTAAAAATAATTATTTTATCAAAAATCAATTGTTAGACCGTCACATTGTTACCAAAATAATATTTTTGTTAATTACTTCGTGGTATTATTGATGTATATGAACATAATGAATTTTAACAAAAATATAATGATGAATGTACAAATTGACGAATCGAGTTACAATAATTATTTTATGAAAAACGTTTTATGATGTATTTAATTGAATTTAATTCAAATTACTATTATAATTCAAAAATAAATTTCAAATATTTGTAATGAACAATAGACAATAATATGTTTAATGCATAACGAATTTTAGTGTATTTTCATTAACAGTTGAATACGTAGATTTCAATTGGAAATATAGTTTTCTTAGAGTTTTTAAATTTTAAATTTAAAAAAAAGATATTGATAATTTTATTAATAAATAATTTTTAACAGCCTTTATCTCAACACATGACATGGATTTTTCCAAAAATTGAAAACCCTACATAAGGAACGAAGATATTTAACTTTTTATTTGAATACAAAACCGATCTAAAGTTACCAGTGGAATTGATGGTTTTCGTTTTACGAACGTCAGCCTCACACGAGAAACGATGTAGGGTATAACGATGCTTGTTTCATTTAAAGTATGATATTGACATTTCTGTAGTAATGCAAAAACTTAACATTCTCGAGCAGGTTTTTTTGGCATTTGAAAATACCCTTAAAATTCATTTATCATTAAAATTACACTAGCAATAATCTAGGTAAAGAATTATTATCATCAATGTACGTTAAATGTCTGTAATAGATTCATATTTTTTATACACTTTCACAAGAAAACGTATTCTTTCATAATTTCATCCCATTTTTACAGAAATTGGATAGATTAATAGAATAGAACAAGAAAAGAAAATGTTTTTAACTGGAACGGCTAACTATACTAAGAGTTGAGATGCATTGATACTATTGAAAAGATCTCTCAGAGAGTGTACTTGAAACTGAACAATAGGACGATACCTTCCAAGTATTATAGAAATTTTAATCTTGTCGACAGGTATTATGGGCCTTACGTCGTAACTACAATTTAATATAGCGTATATTTTCTTGAGAGTTATAGAGGAAATTTAGATATGTATAAGAAATACAGGCCGAAGCACAATGAATAATTTAATTTAAAAAGCTTGTCTTTTAAATATTGTTCTCTTTTCAATAACATAAGATAAGATAACATGTTTAGACAATTTGGCGATGAAATACAAATGGCAAATGTCTCCTAGTGAATATCGTATATTTCATTCTTAACCATTTATTTATAATATATCCCTTAAAATTTCATGCCATTGTCATAATTCATAATTTATGAGATCGTATCTGTGTATTTAATTTCAGGTAACGATTGAAACTTAATAATTCCTTCATACAGTGTGACCTATTGTTAAGATGCATTAACGTTTCTTCATTTTTCCAAAGCTTTAAATACTACATATCTGAATGGTCTGCTGATTCTTCTTTGTTGAAAATGCAAATGTTGTATTTAAGTTTTGGGATTTATTTCTCGTCACGTATAATATGTCTTTGGATTTGTGTGTTCATTATCTGTGAGCTTTATAGGTTTTCAGGCACTTGATGGGTTGTCGTCTCTCTGTTAAGTTAGCTAGTAATGGAAACAATATTTTACATAACCTACCGTTGTTCAAAGCTATCAGCTCGATTGCTTCTGTAACCGGAGTCGTTAAGGCTGCCTTCATGTCGTAGACTCGGCAAAGAGTCCCAAGGTGAGCGACGAGGGCCTGGTGGTGGAGCGCCTCGCCATCCATCAGAATGACGGTACCAAGCCGACCGAGCTGACTCACCAATGCAAGAAGCACAACGAGATGCACTTACGAAACTGAAAAAAAGCAACAACCTTAAAAAACCTCCTGTATACCAAAAGTCAATTTAACCATTTATTTATTTATAACGTATATTAAAATATTTATATAAAGTTATAATTTGATATCGTCACGATGCTCCCGTTGTTATAACAACACCGAACTTTTAACCTAATTTCGATTTTCCGTCACTCCATCGTTCGATCCATAGCATTGGGAAAACAAAAACACGCGATGCTTTTTAGGTCACGTTGTATAACCATCCATGAAAAGATTTTAATTATATAGCACCAGTAAACCATTCTGAAGTCATTGTAAAAATGAATATAATGTTACTACCGTTTGACTACATTGCGAGGTACCTATAATTAAACGTGCTCCAAATTAAATCTGTATATTTTTCTATGGCGTTTTAGAATTTATATAATGCTGCACTTAATTTAAAAATACACAATCAAGAATGCAAATAATAAGAATCTATTATCAATATTACCTAAAATACGGCTTTACCCTAATTAATACCAAGCCTAAACTTGTATCATACAATTTAGGCCACATTCATGTCATGTGAATTATTGCCGTCGGATTAAGTATATCGTACGGTTTGGTTTATGACTAATATTGGCTGACAAAACCACATTTCTGTCTATATATAAACCAACATTTCGATGGGATGACTGCAGATTATTATTATTGATTTTGACTTTTTAATCAGATAACTGAATTTTATATTATTTTAAGGTAACAGCCGTTAAAAGTTAAAAACAACTGCCATTGTCTCAGGAAAGAAATCTAAACACGATGTTTATACAGCACTCATTGAATATAGTGCCGCATTACAAAAGATTGGATGGTTTACAAGAGACGGTAAAGATAATGCGCTATTTGAATGCATTTGACAGAGCCGTTCTCATCCGAGGCACTGTAAAACGATTTTACACATGTGAAGCGTATGAGAACATCCGAATGCAAGAATGAGTATCCCGCAGATGTCCTGAAACGTTATAGAACTATAATTATGAATTTATTCTAGGATTTTATTTTTTGGAGCTAAAGTTCACTAGGGTAAATTTATTTTCAAAGAAACAGTTTATTTATTATACATATAAATGAAAAATGTTGTTCTCTTACAAGACTTAAATGAGCCGGGACCTGAAATAACTTAAAGAGACTAAAAAGAAAATAACCACCTTAATTGGCCTCTAGATTGAGTTTACGATATTTTCAATTTAGCTTTTTTTCAAATATTTCTGAATCCTATGGTTACTACCTATATATGTATACTTTTACATATATATGTATGAAAAAGGGCAAGATGTTTAATAATAAATAACTTCTTTTAGTGCTCCAGATCATATTTAGTCTAGCCAACTGAGGCAGCAGCACGCCCTCATATAAAATCAGTAAACGTGCTTTAACAGTTGCGTTAGTTCAATAAAAAAAATATATCACTATCCCCAAGTCCCTTTCTTTCTTTTCTATTCCAATCCAATTCTTTCCCTTTTAATTCCGAATAGTCTCTAGAGTGAAATCGGAGTTACACTTGTAGGTATCCACGGGCAACAAAAGCCGCTTAATATCAGATGGACCGTTGACATCTAAAGTAAAAAGAATTTTTCAGTATTTAATATTTAAGATAAAATGTAATTTCTTTCGCCTCTCATTCATATATTACAATGGTTATATTAATTCTTACAAATGAGTACCAACGTAATAAATATATATGAAATTTTGTTTTTTTACAAACTCCTCAAACGTAGAAGGTCCGCAATAATTACTAAGTGTTTAAATATGAACAACTGAGTATATAACTATATTTACAAATTAGTTTCTTTTTGTATTCGACAAAAAATTAAAAACATAAAAAGTAGGACCCATCAAGAACATTTTATTTATGAATGTATTTGCTTTGCAAATTATTCATTTGGAACCAGTGTCAAAATGAATTATATTATATTTTTTAAACTTAATTTAAACAATTCTTTATTAGAAATTTCTTTTTTTAAAAGAGAAAGTAAATATATTTCCCGAAATTGACTTTATTTGATGTTTTTAAGAAATGATATGCGAAAAAGCTAAATATAGGGAAATGGAAAAAACAATCACAAAAAGTAAGAAGGTAAATCAATCCCTTTCCTCCTCTGGTAATCTAATTGAAAATGGACATTTCGACAATCCCCGAGAGTCGCAACAGCGTCAGTGTCAGGTTGAAACTCGCTTCGAATCTATTATGAGTTTAACAGAGTTGGTATTGAACGAAATGTGCAGAAAAATTCAGCTTTACCTTTTACATGATTTAGCTAAAGCAGGTTATATTTACTATAAAAATTGAAATACACTTCGTTCCTGGCATTTTAATATTTTGTAGCTTTTACATTTGACAATAGTAAATGTACATATGTAGTTTTGTATTTTTATGTTTCATCTCGATATTTCATGCTAAGGCTGTGGAATAAAACAAAAAGAATGCTTTTTTTGTATACCCATCAATAAATACTTAATATGTATAACAAATCATTAATTTCATTTAAATAATATATATTCAAAGTGTAACTTTCAATACAATAACTGAACGCGAGGTTAATACATTTCGCTCACTCTTTATCTCGCAATGTCTGTCTTTATGTATCCGGTATATCCTTGAGAAAGATTAAATCGATTTTAATCGGACTTTCTCACTAAGGAACATATTATTCGATAAATATTAAGTGTACTATTGCAAATACCATAAAAAATCTATATATTCAATATAAGCGAAGCGAAGCGGACTAAGTTTATGAATTAGATAAACCTTTCCATCTTTAACGTATTTAATAAATAATTACAGTGCTGGTTTAAAAATATAAACCTATTTTATAAGCAAAGAGGTGGGCTACAGTTGGCTTATGACAATATAGTTCAAGTAGTCCACATATCATAAAGATTTAAATGGAACGCACATTGCAATGATTACTATTCCTTCCCTCCGGCCTATCCAAACATTAGTATATCGAGGTAAATCGGCCAAGAGAAGCCTCCAGCGCGAACTGTCCTATAAACATAAGGTACACTATATATAATAAAATTCGAAACATCGTGGTCCTTACTGATTCTCTTGGATTAAATAGCTTTTCGTAAAGATTTCCTTAAGACGTGTAATTAAATGCTAAAGCCGGTGGTCTCAGCAGGTCTATTTAATGAAAGATATTTCGCTGTTTTAATAATATTCTCTCTAATATGAATCTGTAGTGAACAAGGATTTTGCTAAAATGTCGAGATTATTTTAAGTTTATTAGTTCTTGTTGCTTTTCCAATTTGCTTTAAGTAAGAGTTATGTATCTCTAATCTCTACATTTCTTATTTATTTTTTACATAACTCTGTAAAATGAGGACATATTTCATTTATGGAATATATTGAATTATTCGAATACGTAGAAACATCTATATATTCAAAATGTTTACTATCTAAGTCTGCCATCTTGTATATGCTGCTATGTTGGGTTAAGAATGACGTCATACACTTTACCATGCATATTCATCCTGAACGTGGAGACAAAATGTCAACGGTTGAAGTTAACTGTTCAAATTGAGTTTCAAGATTTCACTTACATACTATATAGCGAGTTGAAGTAAAAAAAACTTTTATCTGCTTCTTTTAAGAAAATAATTTAGTTTCCTCAATTTTGGTTCCTGCTACCTCTTTCTGTTTTTAACTGTAGGTATCTTGAATTTAATTTAAAGTAGCTGTCATATTAAAATAATCAACTATTTTATTATGGTATCATTCTATGAATTTATATAATCTTTGAGTTTTCTTAAATGTTTTCTTAAGAATATTTCAAATCTCAAAAATTTACTAACAGTCATAGTTATAACTTTACAAGCACTGGTGTTTATGAAATGAGCTGAGTATTAAACGTATTATATATTGTATTGTATGTAATGTAACAAGTGAACATTTTGATTGTAAAAATTTTATATATAAGAAACAAAACATTTATAAAGCGAAAATTTCATAGACGATCTATCTATTGTTTATTCCTTCAATCATCTCAACAATCCAAACCATTGTGCAAATCTGTTTGAAAGCTTTCCTTATTTCAAATTTTTGGAAAATATTTCTTACAATATTTACATATTTCTTTTCTAAACTACGAGCAACGGTCACTATTTTAGACATACTATAAGAAAGTCCCTTTAATTTATTCTGTAAATTAATATTTGAAATTAAGTTACGTCACAATCATTATGATCACTCCTAATTAATCCAATAATGGACATAAGCCTCTCTCTTAGCACGTCACTGAGTTGCTACATTAGCTCTTCACCTCCTATCTCTTCCCGCCACTTTAACGACGTTAGATTCCTAACTAGCTATGGAGCGTCTTAAACTTCGCTTACAAGTTTTCAATCTCGACGCTAGAACTAGACTGTTACAAAGACCGACAATTAAATTATAATTTCAAATTCATTGTATTCAACTTCAAATATTTCTTAAAAAATATACAACTCTTTTTCATACATTTTTGTTAAATTTTATTAGTAAACAGTTAGTAACTTTTCAACAAATTTCAACAGAATTATATATATATCATCATCTGACCGCGCTCAAGCCTTGTGGTAAAAAAAAATACAAAAAACAAATTCAAAACATTTAACTCACAATCATATGTTAAATAATATCATCAAAGTTTTTGAAAGGGATCTGACGCGATCATATTTTTTGTTTCGTAGTAACTAAAGGTACTTTTTCCGATTATAAATTTTCCTTTATAATAAAAGTTTATTATAACTGAACTATATTAAATTTATGATTTCGAAATAAAATAATTATAATTATATCCATCTCTGAAAAAAATTTGAGTAGGATAATGTTTCACTGATTAATGCATTCCCAAAGAGGGTTGATGTCAGGCAGGCGGTCCTTCGTAAAAACAAGTAGCCAAAACTATTCACAACATGTTAAGCAGACCCTGGCTAAAGCTAGGAACTTGCCAGGCAGAAGGAAAATAATGTTTCCGGTCACGAAAGATAACATATAGAACTTTAATCCTCGGGAGCAATTTGAATTTTTGAATCAATAAAAGAAAATACAAATATTTTATACAGTGGCATAGTTTCATTTTGTAACATATTTTTCCTACATATCTCTAATATATCATAGAAAGATTTCGGATTCGTTCATATTTTGTATAGAAAATCACTAGGTTCATAGACTTATTTCTTTTATAACTATTCCCTCATGTTCAGTTTAAAACCTGCTATTTAAAGAGAATCCATAATGTATATAAACTCCCAATTTAAAATTAAAATCTAATTTAAAAATAACAATATACGATTAAGAAATGGATTGGAGTCAAAATTGTCAAACACATCTCTAACATTGTTTTTCAGTAGCTGTTCAATACTGTTGTATCTACTCAAAGCAATTAATTACATAAGCATTTTATATATTTTAACCATTCAAAATTTATAGGGTTGAAAACGACATCAATATTTATTATAGATGATATTTTTATGATAACCAATTTAAAATGTCGCATAACCCCAACAAATCATTAATCGTAAATTTAAAGAAAATACCTGTAATAAAAATAAATAAAATAAGTAAATTTAAGACTTACCTAGATTGGTGGTCGCTCAGGTAACCTTGATCACGATCACGTACGCGATCCCTAAAAATTATCAAACTTAAGTTATTCGTTTTTTTTTAATAATATTCAAACATTATCAATTATTTAAATAAATAAAGGAGAAATACATTTCATATCAAATACAATACTTACTAAGCATCTTCTTCTTGTAATATACATATCTTAATATTAATAACGTACCTCGTATTATGGTCGCTAAGATATCCCCTTTCACGTTCCCGGTCCCGCTCTCTCTCCCTCATCAGCTCGTTACGATCACTAGAACAAAGCCACGTTTTAATCAAACCTAGATTAAAAAGAGCAATCAATTCAACGAAATATCCAATGTTGAGAAACAAGCTCTTCATTGTTTCTTGTTTCATAAGCACTTGAATAGAATTTTCGAAATATCTTCGTAAGCGAAAGTTTCCTTCTCATACTCTTAAATTATGTATTTGAGAGGTTTTTATGGTGTTATTAATAAACAAATATCTACTTATTAGGTAACTTCCCAGTGGAGTAATTAAATTATGCATAGTAGGAGTTTTTTTTAAAAACCTCTGTAAACATTCTTATGTTACTTAAAATGCAAAATGTAATAATAAGTAACAATTTTTAAATACATTTCCCGCTTGGTGATACAAAACCGCAGCTAATAATTCCTTTGTTATTTTTAAATGACGAAAAAAAATTACAGATGTATGTTTATGGACTTAACAAACTGTAACTAATAGTAAAGGGAACCTTCAAAATAATGAGTTCTTTAAAGTATCAAATTTCATTTAAAACAATATTATTTTAAGCATTGCATTAGTAGTACTCATCTACATCAACTATTTACACAATTAGGGAAGCACCTGCAATATAACATTAATCTCCGCTTCAACTAATGTTCTAGATAAGCCCTCAAGAGACCCGGTGCATGAGACCGAGTAGAAATTCACTGAACCGAAAGACTGTCTTGTCGTCACCAAACTAATGTTATCTATACAGCTTCATCTGATTAAGATGTGGGCAGACCAGATGCATTAGGGTAATTAGATTTAGTTTCCTTCATTTAAAAATATTAAGCTCGATAGACATCTCCAACCTGTAACCGTGTGTACTAAAAATATTTATTAAATTTTTCTCTTTCATCAGCGACACCCATAATAAGTACTTTTTCATTATTCTAATATTTAATTAGTATGTTTCATAAAAATAAATGAAACTAAACTTTTTAAGACAGGTTGGATAGAGCCTTTTATATTATTAAATAACAGATAACGATTAATTTATACGTTTCGGCTACTATCAAGAAAATATCTATTTAATTTTCTTGGAACCTATTTCCTCTACTTTAAACAAATCGAATATAATTTCAAAACAAAGAATCTACTATTATATTCTATTAAAACTGTTACTCATATTTATGTATTTTATTTATACATTTCCTTTGAAAAACAAATGAAAACAAACAAACAAATATGATGTGTTCACATTGTAATATATTTGATGTTTAAAATTGAAGTAGCCTATTTAAAGCAATAATGCTAATTGGATATTTTCATTTCAAATAAAGTAGAATATTTTGTAATTAATTTACAAATGATTTTTACAACTTAATCAGTTAAAAAAAATATTAAATTTTTGTTAACATTATTCTTTAAGATATATAGATATTAATATTTTACCACTTCCTTATTAAGGAAACAACAAGATTCTTATGATTTTAATTCAAGAATACACCAAAATTTCATGCCAATATAATTATCGAGATTTTTATTTAATATATTTTAAATTTTAGGCTTATGTTGTATTGTTAACCGTAATATAATTTCATTTCCTGAATTCCTTTCAAACCAAGATGCTTTTACACCTAACATTGTTAGTTTGTTGAGAGCACTACGTTGATACGCCTGAAGCTAAGAGACACGGAACAATAAAGCTAATATTAAAAGAGACTGCAACAAAAATAAAACATAACCTACTCCCAAAGTCAAACTTCTATCTTAAAGATTCTTTTTAATTCCAATGAATACTTAAATGACGCAATAAATATAAATGTTCCATACTGTGAAACTAATGACATATAATAGTTTATGTAAATTTAAAGTAAAATATTTAATTTTACAACGAAGAACTGACAAATTACATCAATTTAAACATCTAAAAGTAATCAATAGTTTCAGCTTTGCCAATGCAAAGCTTCTTACAGTTAAGAAAAAAGAACATATTACATACTTCGGCACAATTCATAATAATTTTAATAGAGTTCACACGTCGCATGACTTGTAGTCATAATATTTCAAATAGTTGTATCTAAGCTACTTGTAATTTACATTTATTTACCTGTAATATCCATCACGGTCAGAGCGTGCGCTGTGCTGTCTCTCAACACCGAGGCGATGAGGCAACGGCAAAGTTGAGGAGCGACTGCCACCACCAGAACATTGAGATGCTGGTCCTTTATAATAAATAAGTTTTATTAAGAACTGTATTTAACAATATATATTTTTGTATTCAAGTTTCAAAACCTTTTTTATTTTAAACACTTATAATCGAAGTTTGGAATATAAGTATTTTGTATGAGTGAAATGCAAAATATTACGTATCCAATGTCTATAATTCTTAATTAAAAAACCAGAGAAAAAGAAGAATATTAAATAATTTAGAAAAAAGAGTAAAGCATATTTTAGAAGATAGGCCACAGCAATAAGAATTCCTAGGCTCCTTCGGTTCAAGCATAAATACGCATTTTTATTAATAAAGGGATAATCACAATCCAAATTAATATTTGGATACTTTATTTACTCATATACATATAAACGCATTATATTAATTATGCATTTGGAAAAAATGTGTCTTTTTAATTATAGATAGTAGGATACCAATCATTTTCTCAAACATGTATCAAATTACTAATTAATATTAATTGATTCTTAAGTTTGTACGAAAAGTGTCATTTGGCTGCACGTATTTTTTAATCCCTTACCGTTAAAGGTAAAGCTATCTAGTGATTCAAAATCAGGTTAACAAATTGATAGTACTTTAATCCATAACTATTATTTATTAGTCACGTCTCTGTCTTTTAATGAAACATAAAACTCATTTTTGAAGTATATGTACATATGTATATAATCATATACATTTATTAGATTTGACCTAACTATTGAGAGATACTTTATATAAAATCATACTTACTTCTACGAGACGGATATGGACTGCGCTGATTTGAAGGCGGCATGCTATCGTTGTATTCTGAATAAATAAGATAAATATATAAATTAGTCACATTTAAAATATTCCGGTTCAGCCTATAAATAGGCTTATAGAGAAGCAATTATTAAATATACCTTTAACGGTTTAAATTGATACAAAACAGGCAAAACTTGATTGTAAAAAAGTTTGACGTCATAAATTTTTAAATAATACAATAATAATATATGTATCACAAAGTCGTGATATATTTACACATAATCTATTAATTCATTAGTATCATAAATTTTATGTTCCAAATATTAATTTAAAATATGATAGTTCTTTATATAAATACGATTGGTGCTGACGATCGCTGAACTATGTATATATTAGATTGCATTTCGAAAAAGAAAACTACATATATTTTTAAATTATTTAACTAACCTAAGTCTTCCATACTCTGACTCAACAGGGCCTCAAATGTATGCAGGCTGTAGCTCTCAGCGTCCATGCCCTTAGCGAGAGTATTGCGGAGATGCATTTCATATTCTAACAGCAAACGAGATGTAGGCGAGCCTGGGGCTGGCGTCGCACTAGACTGAGATGCCTGCCTAGAGAGGCAGGGTTTCTGCTGCAAACAAAACTTATTTAAAACATATGTATGTTTGGCGAAATAAAACGCACTTATGAACGATTCAAATTAAGTAAGGTCTGTCAATAATTAATTTTCTCCACCATCACGCTTTCATGAAGGTAGCATATTAAATTTTTTTTTAACCTATAGGAGCCCACTGCTGAGCAAAGGCCTCTTTCTCTCATGGAGAAGGTTTGAGCATTAATAATTATAATTGTGAAATTATAAATCCAGTTTTTCTGACGATGTTTTCCTTCACCGTCTGTCAGTGGTGTCTAACATATGACTTGGAACAATCATATTGGTACTTGCCATGATCGAACCCGCGCCCTCGGCAACGAGAGGCAGGCCTTTTTTTTATTCTTTATTTAAGGACTTGTTTACAAAAGAGAAACATGTCGTCCTGTTTGGACAACTTACATAAATCTTAACAACTACACATATATTCTTATATCAAAAACAAAAATAATTACAAGAAAACCAAATCTATATAAAAACAAAAATTATTACAACAAAAACAAATCTATATAAAAACAAACGTAATTGAAAAGAAAAAAAAAACCAAATAACCTAATTTTACAAATAATACTGAAAACAACCACACCTAAATATCCCTTACTCTTAGCCCATCTCTCACTAATGTATAAATCTTCATAGCAGAAGTTGAGAAGGGACAACTTAGCATACTATTACATACACCAACATTCATCTCATCATTAGAAAGTAAACATTTTCTTAGAGTTTCATTTCGGACACATTCCATCACAATATGATAAATGTCTTCTTTCTTACCACACGCATCACAAAGGGGAGAAGTAGTCTTCTTGATGAGGAATGCAAAATAATTTAATGGGATATGACCTGAACGAATTCTAAAAGCTAAAACAAGGGTCTCTCTGTTAAGGTAATACGACTCAAACCAAGGAAAACGAAACGGACAAGGACAAAAAGTCCTGTACCATATTCCTTTTTCCTGTGAAATTTTGTTGAAGTGTTGCAAAACCAGTTTATAAATATGATTTTTTAAAATTGGAACTAAATCGGAAAAGAAGGGTGAAATACTAAGAGAAAAACCATCTAAACTCGCTTCTTTTGCTAACTTATCCACCAAATCATTATCTGGAATTCCAACATAAGATGGAATCCATTGTAATATAATTTCTTTATTACTTTTTCTTAAGAACAAAATTGCCTTCAATATACTATAAGCTATCGGAACGCCTCGAAAATTCGAGGTGCACCGAGCTAGATGTTGAAGAGCACTTCTGGCGTCTGTTAAAATTACAAATTTTCTAAAGTTAATTTTTTTAATATAAGATAGTGCTTCGGCTAAAGGCAGGCCCTTTAACCACTAGACCACCACTGACTTACCATGTGAATGAAAATTTAAATTAAAATATCAATCTTGAATGGAAAAATATTCAAAATATTTAATATATTCATACCTAAAAGTAGTATATGGAATTCAAACAACAAGTATGGTAAAGAGAAACGAAAGCTGAAAAATGATTTTCCACTTCTCAAAACTATGAGAACTAAATACCAAATTATAAAATCGACATGAAATCTACCTTGTGATCATTAACATTTGATAGAACTTTATTCCTCATATCTAATTCCTTCATTAAACCTGTATATATGATTATTAAATAGTTAATTTTTATATATAGTCTTTTCTTATTCAAAAACAATTATAAATACTAGGTTATACATTAATAAGTTAAAGTAAATAACACATAAAAACACTATAATTGGAAACCTCCTATTTTATTAGAGACAGTTAAAAAGTAACCCTAGTTACATGGGAATGTAGGAATCTAAAAAACGAACTCTGTAATTTGTAAGAAGCGTTTTTGCTTTAGCATAGTACCTATATGTGGATATGATGACCAAGTTGTAAATTACAAACCAATGTTATATTCTAACATTGTTAAAAGTTCTGACATTACTTATTCTTAAAGATTAAAAAGTAAGTTAACAATAACATCGGCTAATTATTTGGGCAAATATACAATAGATATATTAAACAAGGGTTACGATACGGTTAACCGCTGTGGCATGTTTTGTTCCATCAATACAAAATTGGAAAATACAGTTTATTATACAAGTGATATATGTATGCGATATCAATAGTAGCACTTTTTTAAATTTTATAATAAAAATCTATTTTTTTCGCTTCAATCTTTTTCATATTCAACGCAAAAAATTATATGACATTTTTCTATCTATTTTGTTTTCTTCATTTATTTACTTTTTTTTCACTGACTATTAAAAAGCTTCAAGACAGCATAAAAATGTAATGCAAAAATAAAAGTATGTGTAATGTCCTTCATTATTTTAAACTGATGTATCAACTGTATCATAATTATGGCCAGACAATTTTGGAAATATTTGCCCCTTGCAATACATATGTAATTTAATATTTCACTTACACCGTGATGATGCTGTCTCTGATGCATAGCTTGCTCCCGGTCGCGGCGACAGGGTTCCTGATCAGAGTTGCCATTGGATGATGACGGAGTTGTGGCATAGCACTGATTATCGAACATCACATTATCAGACGGAGGGGACAAATCCCTTTCCCCACCTCCTAGCTCCAAGTATAGGCCACGGCCGGGGTAGCCACTTGGTGCTGCACCCACACCAACGCCACGGCTGTTAAAATAATACGATGTTTTTTATCAAATCAAATGACTAGCACATTCAAAACAAGTGAAACAACTTTCACTATTCCCAAAAAAGAATATATAATTTTCTCATTGAATCTTCTATGGAAAAGTCGAAGCATTTATGTTATTGCCATTAATATAAATGTAGACTTAAGCATTAAGTTTTGTGTTTTCTCAATCCTTATACATTTCATAAAATATTCTTCATTTAATTTCAAACAAAATAACAAATTAAAACATATATATTTGCATCGAAAAGTTATACAAAAATTTACTTTCAACGCTTGTTGATTGATGAGTACTTACTTGGTTGATGAGTATCTTTGAGATCCCTGTCTGCTGTTATTATTGACGATATGGGCGTAATGTCCATGACCATGTGGTTGATGTCTGTGCCCATGGGGTCCGCAGCTTGGGGGACAAGCACCTCCATAACGCCGACGACCCATTTCAGGTGATGTGACTGGGCTCTCAGTAGATGGCATCGGCTTGAGCATACGCTTGAGTGTGCTCGAGTCTTAAATTAATGAAACTTATTAAATACAAATTTCTATGAAGAGTACACTAAAAGTAATTATATAAATGTTGACCTAGGAAAGTATTGGTATTAAGATATGGAAATTCTTTATACCTTGATTTTTTTTTATATTCTTCTATGGGCTATTTATATTAATACTTGATAATATAAGTTAGTTTAAAAGCTTGAACAGCGGTTACACCTAACACTTTCTGGTAAACCCTAAGATTTACCAATTCTTAATGGTAAATGTCCAAAATGTATTAGTTTAGGCTCGATTAGTTTAGGTCAATGAAGTGGATAATTAAGAATTACTCATTGTTTTATCCCTAAAGCCAATATCTACATGCTAACAGCACTAAAATCTAGCATATACTGGTTTTGGAAGTTAAAAAACCTAAAAAAAATGGTTTTGTTTTCAATATCTAGCAACTGATATCGGTAAGTACTGAGATTAACACTTAAATCTTAATATTTATCGTAGTTTGTTCTTGTGTTTAACATATAAAAGTCAATATATAAATAGTTATAGAGTTTGTTAGAGTTAAACTATAGAGTTTGCTCACCCATATTCATATCTTCTGTGCTTTTGGACTTTGTACGTCGTGACCCAGATGTGTTGTTATTGATTACGTTGTGGTTGTGCATAGAGTGCCTGTCAGATTCACGAGACTGAAAATAACAATTAAGATTATTTAATATAGTGTTATAGTAATATATTCTAATGGTTCAGTATTAAGGCAAGTCTATCCTCAGAAATCTTTAAATAAAACTCAGACAATATGTAATTATATACCCATATTCATAAACGTAAACGTATTATTTTTGAGAGAAACTATTGATCTTATCGAATTAAGTTAAAATTTAGTAAAATATTGCACAATGATGTACTTTACAAGAAAGTAGTGTTCAATTTCTTTCAAATTGTAAGATATTACAACTTTAAACTGGATATTAAATATTGTTGGGACTCTATTGAACAGAAACTGTTTCGTTTTTATAAGTAGATATAAAAACAAACTTAGTAGGAAACAAAACTGAAAAATATCCTACAGATTCGTTTCCATCTCCGTAGTCCACACTCTTAGGCATGTGCTGCAGGTGATCCTTAGATCGAGTGGATGTTGACGAGGATTTGGAGGTAAGAGTTCCACCAGCCTGCACCCCTTCAGACTTCAGGTCTTGAGCATGCTGAACTGTAGTGCCCGTAGATGTCTGAGATTCTTCGCTGGTCTGTAATAATATTCATATATTTTGATAGCTATTAACTTGTAATACAATGACACGAACTAAAATTATATTGTTAGGTTTTTGTGTTTCATATATATACTACTATTTTGGAATACAAGAGATTTTGTTTGCATATAGATATTGTATATTAAAACTATGGAAAAAAAATTGGTTTGCATAAATTTAAAAACGTTTGCTACTATTTTCTTAACAAACTTATAATTTGGTCATATATTTTTTATCAACTTTATAATATTATTAAAAATAAGTATAAGTATTTCATGGAGAAATCTTATCTTCTAGTTGTCAGAAGGTATTTGATTATTAATTTATAATATATTACTGAATACTTACACTAGTACCATGTGTTCCTACCGATGCAGTCACTGTTTTCGGAGCCGTTGAAGTGTTTGTAGTCATAGTGGAAGTCTCCTGAGATTTCGGAGGACGCGATGGAGCTGACTGATGACTCTCACTCTGGCGGGTCGCAGCTGATAAGATACATAATGAATTAGAATCTAGTAATTCGAAACAAAATATTGTTTTAAAACAAATAATAACATGTTCGTGAATTTCAACAAAAATAAAAACCAAAACAAAAATGGATTTTTTTGTCAGAATCAGAATATTATACTGATGCAGTTAATTTCATTCCCTCCAAAGCAATATTTTATTTCGTTATTATCGTAACAAAATTTTAAGATAACAAAATAAAAATGATATACGTTTAGGTGGCGCCTGGTTTTGCGGCTGTGTATTGGTGACATTGTCGTAAAGCGATGTGGAAGATGTTGCGGCGGCGACTTTGTCGGAGCGACCTGTACCAGCAGCGGCGTCCGTCTCAATAGCACGGGTAGCTGTTCGCGGCAAAGTTGACGAGCCTATATAAACACCACTTGGTAATCGCTACTTGATAACCAATCTAAATTGAACTTTCATATCTTTTTTCAAGGGTCAGCCAAGATGAAATTATATTAGGTGTGATATAAAAGGTGAAAGGGTCTGCGAATTATTTTGATATCACAAAATTCTTTATTGGTTATTTATGACTCATTAAAAAATCTCCTGATGCAGAACTTTCAGCATATTGTATGTATATAGTACAATGGAATGATGCAATATATTGGTTAAAATGAATATATGAATTTATGCAATGTTTAAGATCTTTGGAGAAGAATAAATTAGCAAAATAGCCATAATGAAATAATGTATCCACGTAATGATGTGACTTATTTCCAGCTATTTACAGTTGAATTTCCGCTCAGACTAAAGCCACAGAGTAAAGAATTGGAATTTTAAAAAACGATGCCAATGTGAAAATAAAAACTTGGCCAGAACCCTGATAATAGATTTAAAAACTATGAATAAAAATTGTGTATTGTGATAAAATAATTATATGAAACAGATTAGAACAACTTACGGTAGCGAGGATCTTGAGCTCGTAGCCTGGAATATTGTTCTTGGGTCATGCAAGTGCATTGTGGTTCACGGCCATATGTCAGACTGCTTCATAAAATGAAAAAATTAATGAGCTGTTTATAACATTACAGATACATTAAGAAAATGTTAGATAACAAACCTCTTAACCAATGAACACTGTGTCAAAAGAGTCAAAAATTTTAGTGTGTGATTTTTAATTTTAATGGATCCTTATGCCCATACTTTATGAAACAATAATTAAGAATCAAAAATATAAAATATATGAAATTTCAAACAATTCTATCCACCTGCGGTAATTCAACACATATCGCAATAAGTTAATAATTTTAACTACAATTTTAAATCACAAATAAGATGATTAAAATGTCTTCTTCGTGAGATTAGTACAATATCCCCTGTTTGTTCCCTTTAATGAGTTTAAACAGGACCATACCTCGATCGGTTGGGGCTGGCGGGTGTAGATACTGGTTTCCTCTTAGTTTTCATCTTCTGCTTGCTGCCTGGTGGCTCGAGTTTCAGGCTGTAGCTCGAAGATGCCTTACGTGAGAATTTGAATGATGGTGACTAAAATCATAAAATGGCAGAGTGATGTTAATGGTATTTCTAGCTTTGTGTATGACTGTATTTGCCTTTTTCTTTTGCGACGTCGTTTCTTTTTCTTTTATACGTACGTTTTAATGAGTCAATTGAAACTAATGCAGTGAAATGATTAACTTATACGATATTTTTTTGTGCTCGTGAGTTTTACATAACAATTGCTAATAGGTTACTTTAGTACGGAAAGGGAAGTAGTATTTCAAACAATGAATCATTTTCAACTTCATGTAAGCTTGATTCCATAGTTGTAAGCTGTAGATACCTCTTACAAAGGAGATTTTTATGACTATAAATTTTTGATTGAAAGAAATTCTTGTCTGTTATTAAATAAATCTCTTTGCTTTGTTAAATAGTGGGGAATTTCGTCGAGATCCTTTTTATACTATATTTCGTCACAAAACTGTGTTTTTCAAGATATTATTTACACTTTCACGAAATTTAATATATGTAAATTGACGTATCAGAATTTTATTTCAAAAATACATTCTAGCAAACAATAACGAGTGTGTTAGGTATGGTAAAATGAAAAACGTAGCAATAATGCTTTGTTATACAACTTACGCAGCATTCCCTAAACTGTTTTGCATCGATGGGTGAAGTGAAGTTGAGGCCCCAGGTGTCATTAGTCATAGGATCCTTCCAGTACACGAAGCATTCAGAGGCCTGACCGATACGAGTGCCTGAAATTATATTTCCTTATGAATATATTTGTGTATAACTATAACTAACACTTTCGACTGGGTATGTTTGAATTAAAGTATGATTTTTTAATAAAATTATGATCACTGTTAGTAAAATGTAACCAAGATTTCAGGTGAAATTTTAAAACTATAAATCAAAAAAGTGTATGAAATTCACTTGTTGTTAAAAGTAAAAATGACAATGTAATTTTTAAAAGAAATACGTTTTCTTTAACAATAAACAAATAAAACTTGTTATTTTTAGAGATTCAAAATAATAATTCAAACACCCAAAACATACATATTCGTCTATCAATCTGATATATTTGAATACTAATTCTGTGTTATTTGGCGTCAAATATCTCGTTTCAGAACATTTGACATTCTAAAGGGAATATTTGATTCAATATTCAGCACCTCATATACGGATTTCGGTCAATTATCCGTGTTCCATCTAGTGTAAATTTAAAACTAGGTTACAGCGGCGGCCATTGCTAGTTTCAGATTCGCTCGTAAAATACGCTACTATGATGTTGAGCAAAACATTTGGAGCCACGGTTCAATTATCAAAATATACATTATAAAATGTGCTTAATTTTAATAATATTACAAGTACAAACAACATTTGCAGGAATTATGATAATTGGACATTTATAATATGATTAAGCTATGAAATAGTATTATATGTTGTGTGTAAACAATTATTATCATTAATATTCATGTTTACTGGTAGGTTTCAAAAATCTTTCATAACATTATCTAGGAATTTATATGTTAATTTTTATATATATCACATAACATTTTTTTGTATTATTTATACTCAGTCAATTATAAAAGACTCTTGAAACCAGAACTGAATTTAATTATATAAACTTCTAAAGCGAATTTTTCTTAGTACTAAGTATTTTGTGAAATTAGGAGCAATGCTGTTTACATTCATTAAAATTTATCGTATATAACATTTGTAAGCCGTAAAAATATAAAAGCATATAACAAAAAAGTTTAGGTCTTCGGAATGCTGGGCTTGAATATTTCTTTATTAAATTATTCACTAATATCTCTTGTAATATAGTTAAATTTTATCATCCAAGATATCTTTACTTTAAACAAATATTTTCTTAAAATTTCAGAATGTGAATGATTTCAAGTTATCGTTTTATTAAGACAATTTCCATCTTTCTAATACTTATTATCTTTTTTTAACTTACATCATGACTAAATATATATTCGTATAGTCGTTATGTAAACAGAAAATTATCAAACATAAACATACCAGGTTGAAGTAGTCTGACGTCCAATATTTTGTCGACCTGTGAGTTGTACGCGGTGATGTGGAACACACATTCAGGTGAGTCCTGGATGCAGGTGATGTTGACTGGCACCAGGTCCTCGGATACTTGCTGCCATTTAACTGTACCAGCTCCACTGGCTGACACGTGGAATACCTCCGCCCACAGCCTGGAGAAGTAATGCATATCATTGAAATGATCAGGGCTTAATTTTATCAAAGAAGGAATAAAATAAATTGCAAGAATATGCACTAAATCTTACATATAAATTTCGTGTGTCACAATGTTCGTTCCTGTACTCCAAGGAAACGACTTGACCGATTCTCATGAAATGTTGTGAGCATATTGAGTAAGTCTGAGAATCGTCTAACATCAATTATTCATACCCCTAAGTCATAAAGGTTGTTCACCCCAGGTGTTGTTTTTTTATATTTTTGGACCAAATTTTTTTTTCTTATTTTTTTTTAAATATGAAATTAAAAAATACATACAACTCTACATTTTTACTTTTTTATCACCAACCCCTATTTTTTTAAGGACAAAACAATGTTTGCCGGATCAGCTAGTATTTATATATATTTTTCACAAAATATATTTATACAACAAGGAGAGCTTGCGTGTCAAATACTTCATGATTCAATTATTTTGTGTTTGTGTATGACCCAGTTGTATCCTACAGATCGTGTCACATTGTAGCATAATATGGACAATCGTATGCATATTTTAGCAGACATGCATAGGGTGGAATCGTAAAAATAAACCAGTTATACTTTATGTTGATATACGAGTAGTATAAAATCACAATGTTATATTTGTACACGAAATTTTTATGTAATGTAAAGTAGAAAAGAATTTTGACTATTTTCTTAAAAATATCTTTAAACAAGATATCATAATATATTCCATCTAATTTATTTAAAGAATATATAATCGACTAACCTAAAACAAATCTAACTTCCCGATTAGATGAAGTGGATTTTGATACAATTTTATATATAACAAATACTTGATTAAAACCATTTTTTTTATAAAGACATTGCTATTATTGAAATAATTTTTAATTTATATATTTTTTAAATAATTTTTGAACACATTCATCTTCGGTATTAACATTGATCAAAAAATTTTCAGGTATAACATTTTACTTAATAATAAAACAACGTTTGGATTAAAGAAGCAAATTGCTGTTGGATAAAAAATATATAACTTTGATACATTTTTTAAATAATTTAAGTAATCTCTTTGTTTTGGTTATAATTTCCTCCTGTCTTGGAGCTATTACAGCTAACATTTACTCGGAATTGACCCACAATGCTATAAATGCAATTTTCAGTGCCATAATTCAAGACTTCTGTGGCTCTGAAATCAACAAATATTATGAAATCCCTAATCTATAATATATTGCAATAAAAATAAGATTCATTTCAATCTAATAAGATTATTTAGAAAGCTTAATTTTAAATATCTTTTGCTAAACCATATAAAGTTATTAATAGAGTTTTATTATAGTTAAAGATTTGAACAGAAAAAATATTTCTTTAAATTATGTATAAAAGAGATTTAATTTGATTATAAATACTAATTGAAATACTTCGAGCATAGGTAGATAAAAAATATATAGTGATACAGTCAAGTCGCAACAGTGTGAAAATATAGAGTGCACTGTAGTTTAAGTGGCAAAAAGGCTGGAACGCAATAACTCGAAAAGTGTAAAATTGAAATTCTGTTGTTGTTAATCAATTTTAAATTTTAATTGTACTTTCGTCTGTTTGAATTGTTATACTTGTTATACAGCTCATAATTAATAAAATGTAAAACAAATTTATTCATTCAACAAAAGTCTGGTCTATAATACGCTATAATATGATTTTTTCGAAGTTATCACATGTAAACATAACTACCAAAAAATCTCACATAAAATACCTTTTCTCCTAGTAAAGGAATTGAAATAATAATCCACGAACATTTTAAGGCATATGTAACCTTATACCAATACGTTTAAACTTTCTTTATCATCCTGAAACAATTAATGCTTAATTAATATGGATTTTTTTTTATAATATATTACCTCAATAGATGTCCATCACGTCGTCGGGAGTTCTGCCACGGGCTATCTTCATAGCGGTACGCCTTGCGGAGGATGGGAGCGCACGAGCAAGACGATAGTTTGTTGCCCATGGTGCGCTGTCCGCACTCGGCACACGTTACTACGCTGCCTGTAAGGTATATGATCAGTAAATAATATACTGTTATCATGTACTCATTAGCCATTACCATACTCGAAACTTAGAATAGGGTGGTCATGACGATGAGTTTGTTACGACTGACACTGAAAAAACAATCGCAGAACATATCTGTGTTTCGTTTAGAAGAAAAGGCTATATCATCGAATATAGGCCTATATTAAGTAAGATAAACGTTTATAGTTACGTATGTTTGTATTCAAAATTTCTAGCGACAGCATATTATTATACACTTTTACAATTATACCGATGGATAGTTAATGTGACTATGAATGAATAGGTGTAAAAATTCAATAACATTTTACAACTACCGTCTGTATTTCATATTTATTTGTTATGAACAAGTGTGTATTAAGAAAATAATTATAAAATCTTTATAAATAAGGAATCTTATATAAATGCTATGGAATTTTTTTTTAAGTCGACTGAGGCTAAAATACACTTGGAGAGGTCAAAAAGTTCATGAATTTCCACATAATTCACAAGTTGTAACATAAAACGTCAAAGTCGTTTGTACGTTAGTTTTTTATTATGCATAAAAATAAAATATCTTAAAATGTGTTCTGATGCAAAGAATCTACTTATCGATGTTAAGAGCCACATTCATTTGATTTTGAAAAATAAATGAAGGTTTTTAAAATTCACCTCCATTATCATAAATTTTCTCGCATCCTTGTACTATTTGTATATATGATTGTACGTACCCGTGGTCCCGTGATGTCACCAGGTGCCATCGGAGCGCGACAGAGAGTGCCCACGATTGAGACTCTGAGAGCGTTGAGTGCCGTGTCTATAGTGATGTTTCACAACTCCATGCTGTAACCATACACACTATGAATTTGAACGAATTAATACAAATACAGGACCCCAGTGATACGTGTTATGTGATTTCATGCAACATTAAAGTTTAAGTTAACAAATGTTATTCATACTTTTAACAAAGTTTACTAACGAATTTTTAGGTGTCTTTGAATTATTTTTAACATTTATTTATTTTTATTAAGTCTACTTAACATATAATAAAAATAAACATGCTTAAGAAAATCGCCATCAACAAGTACGTCATAAATACTGTTCAAAAATCATCAAATAAATTACCTTGGTGGAGGTTGATGACGACTTTAGTTTTATAAATATACTTTAAAATAATATATGATTAAATGGTAAATGGAGTGAGCATGCATGAAACACACACAGAAAACACCGCTATCCAGATGTAACCTTCTCATACAGCCTGCACTTTTACAAATGGTGAGATCAACTTGAGTTTAGAAAAACATCTGACTATTAGTCATATTCGATTAACACCTATTTTAGCAACCTGTCGTCTCCAAGTAGCCTTATACATAAGTCAATTTACATTTCAATCCATAAAAACCTTTCAATGTGATTGCGTTATTTTAAATACAATTTTCAAACATTTGTGAAATGAATACATTTAATAATCAAATTGTTTACGTTATTTAAATCACAGTCTAGTCGATCATTCATAAATATTAATGTTATCAGACTTGTTTACGATAATATTATCGAAGAATAATTTATTTCAATATCATTACATCTTCGGTGTTTTAAGTTCCGAAGCCGTATAAGGTTAACTGTGTGACCTTTGCAGCTGGTATCAAGCACTTATTAGATAGCCTCTTATCCATTGACCACACGATCTACAATAAAGACTAACCGAACTTTTACCAGCGTCGTGCTATATTAAAATGATTCGATGATAATCTAGCTCTAAACTCTATAACACGCTAAATATTCATTCTCATTCAACTCTATTAATATAAATAACTATGAAATAGATCTTCGGGATATTGATTTTTCTGTGGGTCGTGCTATCAAATAGCAATTAAAATTCAAGAGCCGCATTTCGATCTCGCCGGTGGACCTTCAATCATACTAGATCAGTCTAAGTATCTAATGTGGGGCAACCTACTTCCATGGTCTAAAAATGTCCGAATATTTTGGTAATAATGATAATGTAATATATCTTTTTTAGACACGTATGTATATCCAAAGTGGATACAAATTTCTAACATAAATTTACATTAAATTGCTATTCCTAAATCTGTTTTGTTGTCAAATTTATTTGAATGGTTAATCAAATATGAAAAATTATAATATTTAATAAAAGAACTTATTCGCCATCGTAAGCACGCTTCCTTTTAATAAGGATGAGCCGGTATATAAAAATACAAGTTAGGCTCAAACTTTAATGAAATATTTTATATTTACCTTCATCTCATATTTTTGGCTAATGAAAAAATACATAACAAAAATATTTTTATAAACACAAACTCTGTTTAAATTTTCTTAATCTTATATCACATCACATTCATTAAGTTATTATGTCTGCATTAAGATATTAATTTTAGTCAATGTGTGTACATGCAAAGGGTTGCATTGCTTTACTGTGCATAAAAATTTTGGTTTATTATTCAAGTAATGTCACTTGTTTATTCTTAAAGGCCCACAATGCAAAATACACGAGGACGTAGGGGATACAAACACTCCATGTGCAAATTAATTGAAAGGTATTACGAACCTCGAAATTGTTCCAATTTTGCGCAGAAAATTTAGCAGCCTCCACGCTTTCTTTAGCACCCATACTTATTTAGTCGTGATATCACTCGAATGAACTATGAGAAATCAGTTTCGATGCTTATGCTCGGTTCGTGACGCAGTGACAATGTGCGCTACAAAAGTGCTCACTGTAAAGAGTCGATTTGAATAAGCATTAAATACCTCTAAAGTCGCTCGTTGAGAAAGTAAAAAATTCACAACGACGAATAGTATATGAGGGGTGCATGCAGCGAGCAAGCGCACGGGCGCCGTTCGGCGGTGCGGGTGCAGGCACGGCGTGTAAACACCGCCAGCTGGAGCTACCAGCCGACTAGCCGACTAGCCGACTAGCCGAGCACCTCGTACTGCACGCGCCTACCTTACGATCGACCGCACCGCCGCACCGCACCGCCGCACTGCCACCTACCACTCAACTACTAGCCGCCACCTGACCTAGCTTTACACGAAACTCGATACACTGGAATGAGCACAATTTAATTGACGATGGCTCAGAGATTCAGAACGGGGACACCGGCGGCTTCTAAAAACTTGAGAGCGGACTGGGTCGCGAGCGTGCGTGGCGGCACTGTCGCGCACGTTCGCCGGCCGCCGCGCACCGACCGCCCGCCGAAAGCCGAGACGCAGCGACGCCCAAACCTACAGAACTAACGGCCAGCGCCCACAATCACCATATAAAAATTAAACAATTACAACAGTCGCTCTATCGATGACTTGCCATTTAACTCTCACACATTTTTCGAAGATAACTTAAGTTATTATCATTTGTAGCACGACATACAAATAATGTTTATAATGTGTATTGAGATTAAGAAGATCATCAATGGGCGTTCAGAGCGGTGAGGTGGAGGGAGGCATGCGCGCGCATTCTGCCCGAGACATTCGATTTTGGTCCATGACTGTTGGAAGCTTACTGTGGCCTACCGAGTAATTTAATAGTTCATTCTAGACTATGACACGGCATGGGAGGGTTTATTTCCTTAATTTATAAAATTATTACTTACTTATCTCAAATTCGTATCCTAAAAAATAAATATCTTTTTATGATTACTGTAATTGAATTGTATATACAAAAGATCACATAAAGATATGTGTATAAGTATGAAAATCTGAAGGATGCAATGTGCGAATGAAAGTAAACATTAAATTGTATCGGATTATTATATCATGTTAGGTAGTGTAAAACGTATAAATCTTAGCACATCTAAGTAATGTAGAATAATATGTTGAAACTATATTTACTACAGAAATATGTCTCAAGTTTTTACCAATATATGTGGTAAAATCATATAGAGATAAAATAAAACAGCGCTTAAAACGTAGCTTTTATAGAATAAAAAAATACACATCCAATTTACATTTGCGTTCAAAATTTTTAACCTGAAAATTTTAGTAATCGGTCTTTCTTCGTAATGAATTATAAAAAAGATGATTGATTAATGATAGTTAAATATCAAAAATTTATGCATAAAAAAATTGGCTACTTAAATGCAATACCGACGTAAAAAATATACAGAAAGATATAAACATTCCCAGCTAATTCTTTCAGTTGTTTAAGAGATTTTCTGTTTATAGTTGACTCTCGATAGGGTAAGATAAAAAAAAATATCGAATAAGGATTTACTAGTAGATAATTAATTATTTTTTTTTTAAATGCCCAATTTCAAGAATTTTTGTAAAAAATGGATATTTATTTTGTTCATTAAAAACCCACGAAAAAAAAACATTAATAATTATAAATTTTCATCCCTTTTATCTTACACTTGTATCGCTCATTCAAAACCTTACTTCAAATTGTTTATTAAAACTATCACTAATATAATAAAACTTATGCAAGTTTGTGTGAAAGTGTTAGTTAAAAAACATAACTACCGTACGTTTCTGATTTTGTTTAGGCAAATAAACATGGTTGAAATAAACCAAAGACTAGGTTTTGCTCCAAAAATCCTTCAAGATCCCGAGTAAAATCTCCAATAAATGGTTCTTTGCCATTGGCCTATCAGAGCCCACTGCTGAGCAAAGGCCTCTTTCGTACATTGAGAAGGTTTGGACATTAATCACCACGCTTGCTCAAGACGGGTTGGTGATTTCAAACTTATAATTGTGAAATTATAAGTCCAGATTTCGTCACGATGTTTTCCTTCACCGCATGTCAGTGGTGTCTAAATACTCTCAGAAAGTACATATGACTCGGAAAAATCACATTGATATTTGCCAGGATCGAACCTGCACCCTCGGGCACGAGAGCAGGCCCTTAACCACTAGGCCACCACTGACTGTTGCATATGCATAAGTAACTGTAGTTACTGTACTGTATATATATTACTGTACAGTACTGTACAGATAAGTAAATAATTTTTGTCTATATTATTGTGCATAAAACCAGCATGGTCGTTAAGAAGAAAGAAAATGGTTATAAACAATTTGTTTCTTTTTTAAATACACATATTTTATCATAAGTATCATAAATGCTGACCAATAAAAAACTACGTACTGTATCAAAATAATGTTGTAGCTTGAATTCATGAAGTCTTGAACACTTCTTTTTTGAAATATTTATAATAGACTCTTTTACTATCTTAATACTACACCATTCTTTACCAAGTTTTAGTAAGTATATATTTGTCATTGTAATTATATATATTTGTCTTATATAATAACATAATCACTCATAACAGTAAGGTTTTTCAAGTAAAACTAAGTCAAAATCAATTATGAAAAATCAATTTGATAACATAATATGTATTAACACATAACATTAACGATCTATGGAAAAGACTTTTCACGTAAAACTAATCTTGTTTATGTACCTTCATAATTAATTTTAAAATATTATTTTATAGACATCACATTATAGTGTTCTGCTTAATAGTAAAAGCTGATTCAGTTTTCCGATCAAGTGTGACCTCGCGACTCGATCGTTATAAAGTTTAAAATATCAGAATAATTTTTCATGCAATTTCATATTGGGGCCACATTAAATTGGTATTTTTAACCACCATCCGATATGATGCTCAATTTTAAGTAGAAATATATTTTTTAAGCGTTATTACAGAAACATTTCTTTTAATACTCACAGAATTTATTCGACTACAATCTTCATAATATGTATAAGTTTCAAAGTTTTTCGTAAACTACGGATTGAATTGAAAGCCATATTATATTTATGAATTGTATTTTTTACATATCATTTCATATTTTTGGTGTACAATTTACAAATTAATTGTTCTCTTCGTTAATTTACAATGTAAACTAAGAGGAAATATAAAGTTGTGATACAAGTACCTTTAAGACAATGAGATATAAGATTTTCGCTAGTATTCATTTAAATGAAACTAATATTATTGCATTTTACTTCGCCTTTTTATTTTTGATTACAAACTACATACTCCCGACGTTTCGGCTACTTTTCAGCAACCGTGATCACGGGCAGACGAGATGTGGTTGGTTTAAGACATTGTTATGATTTTATACTTATCAAATATTGTGAGCTTATCGAAAAAATATGCGTAGGAGTCAAGAAAAATGTTGTAATAACATGCAATTTCTTGTTCTGTTTTGTTTTTACTAAGTTATATATTTTACAAGATTTAGCTAATGAGTTTAAAAAATATACAAATAAAAATTAAATACAAATATATTTTATCCAGACTAAAACTTAAAGTATATACATATATTTTCTAAACATTTAATTAAATCTAAAAACCATTTTTTTTTCAATTATTAATTAATTCATTGTAATAATTTATCATTAAGATCATGTTTATTACTTTTCTTCTACATTTGTTAAATCGTTTAGAAGTTTAGTCTAAAACATAACTGTACTGATTATATACTCTAATACACATATTCAAAGTCACTACTTTAATGATTTTTAAAATGTAAAGCAGCTTCTGATAGTGGATGTATACACACTGGTGTTCATCAAACGTATGTGTTGTTTGTCCATTAATATTAAAATGCTTAAAAAGCATTGGCATATTTTAATTACCCGTCCCTTTTTTTATTTCTTTCATTATATGTACTTTTGATTTTCACCCCGATGTTACAATGTTTAACAAATTATTTCTTAAATTATGCTTTTTTGCATTCGATACAATTAATACGTTACAATAATTTTTGGTTTAAAAACCAAAAGTTTATTGAATTGAAAAATGTCATTGATTTTGAATATGATTTAATAAAGATTTTTATTAAATTTTTGATAATTTTTCCTATCAAAATATTCTTCAACTTCATGTATATGTAAGCTTTATAATATGCGTCTACCATTGAAATGTATTCATTTACTTTGATTTAGATATCTAATAAAATATGTTTATGATATATTTATTTCAATTTCGTATTATCATATTACTAAAAAATATTTCTCAGCAGATATCTTCTAGGAAGACTTAAAAGAAAAAACATTGCTATTATTAAATATACAATTTCAACAGATATAAAAGAGAGCTTTAGCCATCTTAATATTATTTAAATAAAAGTATTTTGCTGACTAGTGTATATTTGTGTATAGTGACAATTCGTCAGAATAGTTATGGCTCTTGTTTCTTTTTAGTTCATCATAAAGATTTTGTAACTGGTATTATACTATCGAAGACTGATTAATGTCTACACTAAATAAAATTACAATATATGGATGAATTATTATTTATCTCTTAGCCTGTAATATTGTTATCAAGGCTTTATTTTGTATGTATGTACAATTTTATTACAAATATTTCTTTCAGTTATACTTATATTTCTGGTCAGATAGGTACTTCATACTAAAACAAGGACAGCCCTCAAAAACTATACTTGGCAACAATAAGAGTAGGCAACATTTTGCGGAATAGATACGTACATTTTATTGGAAGCAGGCCACACGTCAAATCCTAAATAGTGTATTGTTAAGAAAAGGACAGGTCGGATAAATTTTTACATGCTATTACTAAATAACATGTTCAATGTAATTTTTGGTTGTATATCTTATTAAATATAGTTTGAATTACTGAAAGACTCGAAGTGTAATATTTCGTTTGTAAATTAACACGTAACCACTATAGAGAGCTTAATAACATTTTTATTAGTAAAAAAAATATTTACAAATTTAAAGTATTTAGATGTTTTTCCATATTATCTTTGCTAGAATATTTTTAATATATAATTTATCTAATATTGACCAAAAATTTTCAGAAACTCCCGCTAGATGATTAAAAACAACTTTAAACGAATGATTTTTTCAATGACTCAATAAAACCCAATTTTTCTAACTCTTCACAATAATAGACAAGGAGACTATTTATGTATTTTTAAAATTACAATAGGATTTACAGAATATATAAGGGAGACTTAATTTAAGATAGGTATGGGTAAGTTACACAGCCTGTGCATCAATTAACTTACAACTTTATATCAAAGGCATTAATCAATAGTTAAATTTGAAAAAATAACAAACAGTATATTACTATTTCTAATTGGAACTAAAGGATTATCTCAGAATTTCATAGATAATTCAATAACATTTTCAATTTGTAAAGTGTCTATAGCTAATTTATTTATGGAAGCACACGAGAGTACTTAGGCAAGATCCCTGCACAAAGCACTTTAGTGCTAGATTTACACCATTAGTTCTGAGGCAGTTTAAGTTATTAATTTGACTCAAAATACTATTAAGGTATTAAAATTGACATTATTTATTATAGCCACCATACTTTGTGTACACTATTGTGTATAAAATACAATCATTATACTTGCAGATGGAGATGTCTTAAAGCTCAAAATTTTTTAATAATATTTGAGGTGACTGACTTACTCATTGATGGGTCGTCAATCGATATTTCCGTTTCTAGGGCAAGTAAAACTAGAAAATTTGGTACAGGAGCAATTCTCAGCAAATTATTTAAGGGAAGGTGTATGATGAACTTTGAAATTGGTATGTATCCAGTAAAAAAGATAGAACTAACGTGCAACATAAACATGAAAAAACATTTTGTATTAGAAATGAAAAATGTTATTTGTATAAATTGTCTAATAATAATCAATTATTATAGATAAATTATATAACATTGCGTATGTTTTATTTGTTTTAGCTAACCATTTCTACGTAAGAAATATAAATGAATATTAGAAGAGTCAGGCATGCTTATTTTTTCGGGCAAATATACTTGAAAAGATAGAAAAGTGCAAATTAAACCTCATTTCAGTGAATCCATGATTTGGACTCATAACACTTGGTAAATTAAAGTGGAATGCACGTAAAGAGAAACAAGTAGGCTAAAACTATTGAAATAAATTAATATTAAATGAAAACAATTTTTTTTTTTTGGTTTGTACGTAAGGTTAAACACAGAACTTTTACATAGTATCCAAAAAGGCCGATACTCTCTTTTGCAATCGCAGTTTAAGTTAAAAATAATAATGATATAGCTAGCACAGCAAGTCTATAGTAAAATTTTCATTTGTTGTTTTTTAAATAAAACAAGTCTAAAAATTATATTTTAGGTAAGAAAATTGAGAACTTAGGGCAGGTTGTTGTCATATAAAATATGTTCCAAACCTCTCAGTGACCTTCTACGTTAAGTATAAAGGTATGAAATTTATTTCTTATCATACTCAAAATATAAACGTATACATTTGATACATTATAATACAATAAATACTCATTATATTAAAAATAAAATTCAAGAAGCACATTGTAATATATCTTATCTTGAGCCCAAATATAAAAAGTAGTTCAAAGTAATGCATTAAATTACTATAGTCAATTTGTTCATATTGCCGTGCATTAGTTACTCTGATATGTAACAAAATTGGCAAATGCCCAGTTTGAAAGAGAGATTGCTATCGGTCCAGTGGAACCTTTGAGCTCTGACGATTATTATCAGATTTTTCGATAGAACCTCGATAACATAATAAATTGACAAATTGTTTAAGTTAAAATCGTATAAAAATATAATGTTTTATTATATCTTTATGATTTTTTACTAGTAATTTGCTGTTTTGTTTATTAAATATTTAATATAAAAAATGTTCCATACACAATTGGGTGATTATTATTACTTTATAATGAAAGTTAATGATGCAAATACTCTCCATGGGTATCAGAACTAAAAATATATACCAGTACTATTTATATACTTAATAAATAAAGATTAATGTATTTTTACTTATTATTGATTATTTCTAAGTATAACCAGCTTACATTTTTGTTGCTTTGTAGGTAAAAAGTTTTACTAGAGATTGCATAAAATCACAGGGAAGTGTTACTTCCGTTATATGCACATAATCTTGTCTTCGAAAGTAGGTCACAGTGCGCTTAAACCTAAATAGTTTACAGGACACACTAAATATATCCTACATCAATATCATGTTCGTTAAGTCTCTTGAAACTCAATTGCTTTTTTATCAAGTACATGAAAATACTAAACTGCTTCACCCTTTTGAAATAGCCTCAACGTGAATAATATGTGTTTTAATCCCATTTTCCATCACTTGATTAGAAAAAAATAAGTAAAGAAAGGAGAAAGTTTCACAGTAGGAAACATGACACAAATTTCAGCAACTATAAATTTGTCATACAAGTCCTTTAAATGGTAAAACTAGTATGAGTTATATATGATTGTTATGCATCACAACTACTGTTATATTGACTACATGCTTCTAACATTCATCTAATCTGTTTATTTCAAATAAAACCAACTTTATCTTTAAGTGAGTAATGTCCGTAACGTCATTATGAGAGAACATTCAGTCTAAAATGATCGCCATCTGTACGATAGAGGTAGAGACTACGAACATGGTTGTGAATGATTGTTTTATGAATAAATAATACAGGATGGTCTCGTTCCATCAGTACATATGATGCCTCTAATATCTAATAAGCGTTGTCGTCAACTACCAACGTCTTTATCAGATACAAGTGAAACTTACCATAAACTCATTAATGCCAATTATTGTCCAAATATATTTTTTTGTTTAAAACTCGTCGTCTACATACACATCTCATGACGATTCTCAATGATCGAGATATATCTATTTTTAATGAAAACACAGCGTGAATGTTAATAATTTTCAATAAAATTATGTTTAGCATTCAACCCTACCCCAGGCAAGTTGGATCTAGCGTACTTTATACTCTATTACATAAACGGCTACATATAGTTTCGCTGCAATGCTACAGATTCTAATTCAATCAGAATTCGGAATTCACGTAATTGCATTACAAATAGCCCTATTTCAAACTTTGACAGAAGTGACAAGACATAAAAACTATTTAAACTAACATTCACACTGACAGATATATCTCAAACAACACACGGCTTAAAGCTATGCATTCAATAAAGTAACGTTTTAACAACCGAAACCTAGAAATATTAATCGATATGCTAAGACTAAACGGTGCTGAAAAGGAGATTTTGGAACGCTGTTAACGAGAATTTATTGAGAAATGACATCGATGCATCCGGCAGGGGGGGCGGAATTGGTACAACAAAAAAATAACAGTACGTATCGAGCTAGCGATGCACCTTACGACTTGATACCTAATCAGATATCCAGATAATGAAACGTCAAATGATTTTCACTAATGTGGTCGGCGCGTGAATTATGCCCTGTCGGTCGGAGCACGGCGCGGCACACACTAGGGCGGGCGGACACGGCAACGTTACGTCAGCGAGGGGTGAGGGGTGAGGGGTGAAGGGGGTGCATGAGGGAGGGGGGTGCAGGGTGAGAGGGGAGCCCCGCACTGCTGCATCCTCGGAACGACCATCGTCACCCGAGTCCCGACTTGCCTGAATAACGTGACATCTCGCGAAGCTGACGCCTCCGCGGTTTTCTTTAAGAAGCTTTTATTAATATAAAATTAAATCATGTACTGAATAACATCATTAATTACTGCTGCTACGCTTACTATTGGGTAGCTATTCAATTAAAGTTCTTTAGTAGTTCATCTAATCTTCAGTCTTCACTGACAAAAAAAATGAGATACAGAACTGCAGTGATTATTAAAATTAACCTTATTCTGTATAATAATAAGATTTAGTTACTTTGATACTTATTAACTTTATAAATTGATTACGGCTCTGAATATATTCTGTTGAAGATTTGATTTCACGTCCTCTTGATACTCCTAACGCCATCTAGCGTCGCCCCAAATATGTAATCTGAAACTCCCTCAGGACCCATGTTCTGCTTCGCTTAAAACTACTTGTTTATGCTTACTTGAGCAAAATCATCGCCGGTACCAATTAAAGTTATTTCAATATGTTAAATTTTTATGTTGTAATAATAGGTGCCTGCAACTACGTCCACTTCAAATAACTTTTTAAAAATAACACATTTTCCTCGTTAGTACTTAATTATTATAATATTTTCATTATAATATTTTAGGTATAAAGATTCGTGTAGTTTAATCATTTTAAAGTATTTTATCTAAGATGTTCTAACGAATTTATCTTTCTAAAACATTTTAAGATAATGGCAAATGAAATAAAAGACAGTTGTACGTTTTATACTTTATTTTTCTTTGAAAAATAAAAACAAAATTTAAACTCTACATAAGAATTATAAAACCTTTACTCAATCATTCTGTTTAAAAAATTACGAAGTAGCCAGACGTTGTATACCGTCTAATATTCGTTTATAATCTTAGCTTACAAATCAATTCTTAATATCTATTAAAATTATGAGGTAGATGATTTCAAATAGTCTTTAAAATCTTATAAATAGCTACATTACATATATAATATTAAATTTCATGAAACCCGTATTTGTAATACCTAATTTCAGTGCTATGTTTATACTATATTGCTCGCAGTATGAACCTTTCTTAGCCTATCATGAAATTCACTACAGAATTAAGCAAACATTATTTTTTATGTCCAGATTGTTTTTTTCTTACTTTGTCCAATTGAATTAAGGTACATTGTAAATGTTGATATATGTATGTATTTTCTATATGTTAAAAATAATATATGTTATAATTATAACACACTCTGTATTATAATCATAACATATAATTTTTAAACAACAAGATATTTTTCTTAAAATTTCCCAAACAACGTAAGTATATTTATAACTAGCTTATAAATTTATATATTGTTGAATTGGTAATTATAGAATATCCTCGCCTTTAAATTACAATGATGTGACCCTATATAGATACCGGGATTCTACAGAGACGACCAATTCTATATAATATGTATTTTATAAAATATATAACTTAACCTAAAATAAATCTAATCAAGATATGAGGTATATTCGATAATTAATTAATCTGAGGTAGGTAATAGTTGCAGTTCTTTACATAATACACTGTTATACTGATAAAAAAATACGCAAGAATACTTAAAAATTGTTCTTCTTCTATTTTACTTGTAAATATCCACCTGTTCATGATTTAGTTTTGTTTTTAAACCTCATTTAGTAACTTAGCTTAGGTATACTAAAAAAATCGATGGGCTTCTAACATTATATTGGCATGTTTCATAACAAAATTTCATTGCACCCGACAATATGCGAGTATGTATACGAGAAATATCTTTCTCAGTTTCATATCTCTTACATATATTCCATAGACATAGTATTAAAGTAAAACCAAAGTGTCGGACAGGTTATGATTCCTGCTGAAACTGATCAACCAAAAAGTCATTTAATTGACGTTTTAATGAATCATTACAATCTAATATAATATAATTATTGCAATAGAATTTATTTCACTTTGGCACACTTCATTCACCTTGACTCTAGGCTCCTTAATTTCGTACAACCAAAACATTATAGTTCAAGCAGTTTGTTTACTTATCAAAAGTGATATTGCGCAATAAAAACGAGTTGTATAACGCTTGTTACAGAAAACATTATTTCCGATATTATGAATTTACGCCGTTAGAACAAGGGCAATCTATGATTTATATCTAACTTAGAATAATTAAAACTAAATATAAATTTACGTTGGTCATAATAGAATATAGCAACAAAATTAATAATAATATAAAAACACACAACTTTGGGTATACATTATTATGCAATAATTATGGTGTCGAACACTCGAACACATAAAATTTGTACTACGTTACACTTCCAAACTTAAACCATAATATCTAAGAGTAAAGTTTTTGTACTGTACGGTTTTATACTCATCAGTCTTGCGATTAAAACATTTATTTGTTTAATATGAGGTAGAAACGTTACTTAAAATCTATGTTTAAAAAATATTATGACCTTAAAATCTTTACGTCTGTCCTGTTGAGGACGAATTTTTGTTGGATACAAGTATATTTATAAGTAGCTTGTGATAAATGAAGAATATGAAGGTATTATATGGTTACGGCTGCGGGCTCTCTTGCAGACTCCCCTGGGAACTGCCTGAGTTCTTCGATTGTGAGTCGTCCTTTTTCTTGTCGACCTACAATTCAATAGAAATAATATTTTATTACGTTTGTCCATATATTTTTAAACCACTAATATTCCTATGAACACTAGTAAAGTACAATAAATAGAAATTGTTAATAACTGTTGATACTTCTCATTAACTTGTCATACCTTTATAGGACAGTCAGCAATGAGGTGGTCTTCGCTCTTGCAATTGTGGCATCTCTTTGGTTGTGGCCCCATACTGCACTTAGCAGCTATGTGGTTTGCAAACTCGCCACAGTTGTAACAGCTACAAAACAATGCAAAAACATTTTCATTTAACTTTATGCAATAAATACGATTGTAAGAAATAAGATTAAAAAGATTTATTATCCACCATTAACATAAAAACCTTTTAATTAGATTGTAACGTAACATACTTTTTATACATGTTAAATTATAATATCATTGATTTTAAATCTTAATATCATTTCTATTCTTAAATTAAACAAAAGAACACCATTTATTTATATAATGCTTTTCTTTTTTTGTTACTTTTTTGAATAGGACTTATTTGTTATAGTACCATATATTTCACATGTCTTTGAGCTAAACCGCTTTAAAATCAGTTCATATTGTATACCGTATCTTCCTAAACCGCTTCTTACTCAGCGGACGTCTGTGAGAGCCCTGACAGTCGACCGAGGATGGGCCACAAACTCGCGTCGCTTCCAAACCCTTGTCAGACTCCTTGCACTCGAATTCAACCACCTCTTCATCACCCAACGATCTGAAGCCCGTCATTTGAATCACACTCTAAAAATAAAAAGAATATTACATATTGATACGTACTTACTGACCTTATATTTTGCATACAATTATTTTTTCAATGTAATGTACATACATACGATTCCGTGTTGATATTTCTCTAGTCTGTTATAGAAGTCTTGGAATATTGGTGTTGCTTTTGGAATATTTTTGTATATTATTATTCTAAATATAGGTAAAGATCATACTTTGTGCCTACATTTTATCTTTTAGTCGCTAAGTTGATATATTTTCATCAAATTCTTTTCAAAACTGGTAGGTCATTTTATATTGAAGTCACTACTAATTTTGAGTAAATAATGATATAAATTTAATGAAATAAACATTCTCCAACATAATTTATTTTCCCTTTGAGCATGGCGGTATATTTTGCTAGCAAGTTTTGTAATTGGCAATTTAGTCTTGACACGATGCAATACCCAATACATTGCTAATGAAACGTACGTATATTCCATTAGTTGTGATTTTGGAAACAAACAGTGTATTAGTTGCAATTTACTAAATTATACGAAAAATCCCTCTTTTTATATATTAATTTATTCTATCCGCCAATTTAAACAAGGTCTATAATTTTAACAAGATATGTTTATTTAATGTTAGAATATAAAAAATAATTCTTCAAAGCAAATATTATATTATATACACATAATTCTATATTCTATACATATATTCTAATTCTAGTGTATTTTTTTGTTTAACTGGGATATGTAATTCAAAACATAAATAAAAAAAATCCCTACTTACTTTTGTACGCAAAGAACTAAACCCTTTTAGCATACTTTTCAATTTAAAATATTTTATTATATTTTTCGATTTGATTTAAGCTAAAAAAATATACACATTTTATTTACCTCTGAATCAACTACTTATATTTTATATAAAAATAAAAAACACAACTTTGTTTCAGTTATATTAATATATACAACCATACAATTATAAACGACACGGAACATACTACTATCGCCAAATAACATAGTCTTGACCTAATATGATTTTTACCGCTAGCATTGCAGCGGGCCGAATACAAACTTGGTGGCGTAAATTTATAGAAAAAACATCCGGAGTTGATAAGCTAAACAAACAAACAAGCACGCTATCGGGTCGACCGCTAGATTTCTCAGTATATAGTTTTTTTAACTACCGAAAAACTTTACGATAATGCAGTTGATACTTCCAATGAACATTTAAATTTTACTAGAAATTAATTTGTGAATGTGAACTCTCCGACTTTTAAAAGTGATTTCGATTTATAGCTGGTAATTCTAGCGCCTTTCACCAGCTTACTTATGAATAAGACAAATGAATGAATGAATATTACTATTGATTTTATTTATGAATGATTCTAACATCAAAGTTGATTTTATTGAGCAGTTTCCATAAAATATTGTCAGAAATATTTGCATGAACGTATCACAATCATTTACGCATCCATTCACATTTAAAAAGTTGTATATTCGTAGGAATAATATTTTATATGGAGAAAGGGTTGATTGTATAATTGTGATCTTATTAAAAAAATTGATCACCTGGTGAACAAAAACGTCCTGGCCTCCATCATCAGGGGTGATGAAGCCCCATCCTTTAGCGACGTTGAACCACTTGCATCGACCACGCCGCGGCACGCCCGTTACGCCAGCGATGCCACCCGCACCTAATAAAATAATCATATATTATTTCATAATAAATCACATTTAAATTAATTTGAAACGTATAAATACTCCTCCAAAAATTTCCTTTGTGAAACGTAGTAAATTTCCGTGAGACTTCTTATTTTTAATTGGCATAACATTACATTGAAGACCTCACATATTATTAAATACACCCCTATAATAAAATTATAACGCCACAAGCTGCACCAATAATTGAATACGAGAATAAAACATCGTTACTGTAATTAAACAAGTTTCGACCCAACACATTTATGAAAGTATAAAGTTAAAATCACGTGTACAAAAGTTACATCAGAACATTTAATGTAAAACCGAATGTTTTTAGACTTATCAAAGAACCCATCTTTTAATTTTTGATAACACGAGTAATTAAAATGCACCTGAAAGGTCTTGGAGAAAGTTACGATTAAAATTTTAAATAGAACACATTCAAACAGCTTGTGATTGCATAAAGTGTACCGTCCCCTATTTTAAAATGCATATTTAGACATTTTACCGTTCGAAAATCTATTAGCAATAAATAAGGGCCCACGATCGTTTACAGGACTAAGAAAGGGTATACTATTCCCCTTATCGGCTTCTTCACAAAAAATAACGTGGGAACCGAATGAAAGAATGAAGTCTTCTTTTTATGTGTAGATATCACTATAGTTGTTAAGGTTGAAGACCTCATTCCATAGGGACTATTAGTGTCGAAACGCTTTTTTAATTAAGTACCACGCAAATATTTTGATTAATCAAATATTATTAAAGTACTTTATATATTTGATAAAAACCCTTAGTGAATGAAACTAACGTGATGACTAATTAAATCGTTATTTCCGCCTAAAATGATGAAAGAATTCAAAGTAGTTATTAAAAAATATAAATGACACATACGAATATGAGTGATGACTAAGTTAAAAATTCTCAAAGGTATCATACCTCGGATATTATTGAATTGCTCGATCATGTATTATATTACGTGAGGTGAGAGTATTAACTTACAATATGATTGCGGTGCGTCTTGTAAATAATTAGGTATCGAATACGTGATTATGAAAACCTTAAATTAATAATAGGTTGTGACTTTAAAATAGTTTTTTTATATTATAATAATAGTTTATATGGAAACACCAATTATTCATATCATTAACGTTACAACGGTTGTATGTATGTTCTGCTAATCCAACAAGCGTGTGCCGGTATGTAGCTACGGGTAAGCTAAGCATATTATTTTAGGTAGCGGCGTTGGTAAAAGCGGCTACACACGTGGCAGAGACGGGGACTCGAAGAATGCGTGGTATTTAGGTTGAGTCTCTGGTACCTTCATTCATTGGCGTAACACTGCACCTTGTAGTGCCTCGCCCCCCATGCTTGTCGTCAAGAATCAACGCAGTAGATACCCGAAATTTATTATTCTACATTGATGGGAAAGCATAAACATACATTTCAAGTTATGTATGCTATCATGTTATTTTATGAAATCACGTGTGAGGTTATGGGAAAATATTTTAGTATAAGAATAAAGTATTAGTTTTGTAATTCATTATGAATACGAGTATGTAAAGCTTTTTAACTTATAGATGATTTTCAAAAGATCGTTTAATTGGATTCAATGTACACACAAAAATCTTTATTGTGCTAATAAAAATACTTGAAAAAAATAAAGAACATTTATCTCTAATATAGACATAAAGTTTTAGTACCAACATTTCATTTTTACAGCACTCTTCCGATATTAACCTCTTCGGGCGTATTTATTTATAAAAAGAAGTGGTGTATTTTAATCGATAAATTGCGATACATACTTTATTCACCGAATATATTTATTTTTTTATAAACGTTCATGTAAGGGATTGTAAAATATTACTTTAGTTGATTATTTACTGCGCGTTGCCCGATATATTACTACGGAACTCATTCAAGTTATTTTTTACTCGTTTTTTGTTTCGGGCCTGAATGAGGCGTACATACAGCGAAGGTTGTCGTTACTATCGTATTAACGGAGTGGGCTCAAAGGAGTAATATTTATACAAAACATTCCGAAATAAAGGGAAGTGGTGTACTCATATAATGGGAATTGACATGCTTCCTCAAATTATTATGTTGATCTCAATTTATGAGAGTCCCAAATAAAAGCTCTATTTTAATATAGCTGTATTCTTTTAACGGAAGTAAGTTAAGTATTGTTAAAGCAAACTTTATTTTGAATATGTGATATTCAATATGAATTCAAAATATAAATTGAAAATATCACTGTAATTATAACTAGAATTTTTATCGTTTCATTTGATGTAAAACTTGAATTTATTTTCAGTAATTATACTATTAGAGCCAACGAACTCTAGTAATAGTAAAATATGATTCCAAACTATCGAAAAGAAGCAGAAACAAGCGATCTTAATATAGTTGTACGTAATTTATTGGATCACGATGGTAAACAACTGCGTGTTTATTTTTATCCCCCTTTTTGTGAATATAGGACAAGTGCATAAAGCGGTAGCGCATGCACTGCGCATCCGAGTCGTGTGTTTACTCAACATGCGCGTGAGTCGATGAACGCCCGTCCACATCTACGCCCTACCACTAAAACATACACTTAGGAATTTCAAACTTCATACGCATGCTTAACTTTTGATTGCATTCCATTAGACTGAGCCCTCAAATATTTGTTGATAAAATATACACTAGTGTCGCTTTCAGTGACTATTTAACGCCAGCATTCCATCGCTATTTGGGGCGTCACGTTACCATACATAAATAAATCTGATACACGTTGTATGTTTATCAATTAATTGTTTTATTTATTACTTTGAATAACATAAACAAAAACATGTTTTTATATATCAATAAAGGAATTAAATATATATTATAGAAAAAAATGTCCCTACATATAATGAATCTTCATTATATGATAATAAAAATGATATTTCAATAGAATAGGATTCTTATATAAATTTTATTATAAAAGAATCGTTAATAAAATATTGTGAAAAGTGTAACGTGTACAAGAATAGCAGATGAAAGTGATCGGGACATTCTTATTGTATCTTAAAGATTACCTTAAATTAGTAAGCCGGACTTATTTAAGCCGACTCATTTTAAAAACAAGGGGGATCTCTGAATGTTTAAATATGTTCAACTATTTCTGTGCATCGCTTATTTAAACGACTGTTATAATAATGAACATTTTGCTGTTACCTTTTAGTTACCATATCAGATCTACAACGGAAATGACGGATTCTTATAATTAGCGCTTTTTGGGTAAACTTAAAACTTATCATTATAATTTGTTGAAAATGTGTAATTCGTGTTAAGAATTATTAACGGTCATGGTTGTTTATTTTTAAGGTACTTATTTCCAGGAGGGTGATGAGGTTCCATTTTATTAAAAATATATTATCATAATAAACAACTCTATCGAAGAAAACTACCACACAAGGATAATATATTCAGTAAAATATTTGACAAAACTGAACATGTACATGTCTATATAGAAAATTAATTATGTATAGGAATTCCTTATATTATTTAAATCTCTTCAATCCCAAACATATTAATAAATAGCAAGGCATTGATTCTAAATAAGATTATTAGGGCTACTATTTGATACCGTCATGCAACAATCGTTCACATTCACTAGTAAAATACTGACGCCTTCCCTAATTCACGAATTAATTTCCGGCTAAAAAATATTTAAATTTAATTATTAATTACGCGCTAGGGCGGCGGACATCAAATAAAATTGCGTATACCAACGTATTTTAAATAACTATGAAGCATAATCGAAAACAAGTCGTAGCGGTTCGATTGACATGCGTGGAGTTGGAATTTATTCAAATAGAAATGCATAGGTGGATTCCGTTATATTTTATTTTGCTGTTCTCTAATATATTACAAATAATATTAAACATACACTGAATATGTATGACAGTGTAAAGTTTACTCATTATATATTTGTAAATTATTAACTGAAACAATACCTACCAACCATGTACTTATATTTATAGGTTCGTTTTATTTTGTTGCTAGTAAATAATAATGAATTAGTACTACTTAATTGACGCAATTAATATATTAAGGGAAATAAAAAAGGCCTATAGTGAATTACAAATAATAATATACAACGTATAAATGTTATTATTAAGGTCCTAGATAAAAAGTATATTGTGCCATTCACTGCTTTTGCAGTTATCAATCGCAGGTATGGAATTCAAACATGAATCATCGTCAAGTGGCGCTTGCTCGGGTTCTTTAGCTAGGAGTGAAAGAGACGGTTAAATGTACCACCATTCAGACTTAATTGACTGGTTACAAACTCGGACCCTGCCGTAGGGACGTAGCGTTACTTAACACCGACTTTCTATAAATTCCAAATAGGTATTTCTTCCACAACTCTCTATGAATAACAATTCCTCTTGGAAAAAAACGCGCTCATGACTTACATTTATTTAATACGAGTGAATGGTGGCGTTTATGATCAAAATGTTACGATCGGTAGTTGAAATTCAATCATACTATTATGTCATGATGTAATAGGAGAATTCCAAACCTTGACTATTGCAACAATAACTGACGTAAAGTATAAATAGAGTACACCTCACTACTAGTTTGGTATGTCAACGACAAAAACACGTAGTGGTAGAGTGGTGGGGGGCGAAGATTACAGTCCTTCGAAAATGCAGTCGGCCTAAAACGCACACCAGCTTCTGGAACTCACACAAATTAATGAACATAGAAGAGTCGCGGCAATATAGTCTTTATATTAATATAATAGAATTCAAATTTATTAAATACAGTCTGATGCATACATGCACTACGGTCTCGAGTAACTTAAACGGAATAGTATGTTTGGTACGAGTGTAGTAAACAATTTACGACACGATGCATACCTTGTTTGATAATACGTCTCCAGTTTTATTTTACTAAAATAGTATAACAACTTACTATGAGATAACATTACTGCGCATTTATATAAGGTACTTACTAAAACGATTGATACGTAGGAGTTATATATAAATTACGTTTTGTAAATAATTAATATGATAAAACTATACAATAGAAATTCCAAAAAATATTTAGTTATATTAGTAGTATTTGAATTGGTCATTAATCACTTAGCACTTATAATTATATATAAATGTTATTGTTGACGAACACGATGCGATGTGATGTAAACATGGCACGCATATGTGCGACATCAATGAACAACACTATTAACCTCGATTCGTATAATTTCAATGATGTTGTAAACAATTTCTATGATTGGCTTCCCAGGCCCTACGATTACACATCCGCTCGATAAGGCAATAAGTCCCACTGCATGATAAAGCTTTTGACATCGGGTGAACTACTATGAACACGTGCGTGGAGTTATTATCTTACCTCAAGCTCGAATACCATACAAATAGAAAACGGAAAAATAATATAGCGTAAATATACTTACTCGAAGACGGAACTGCATTTCCGCCCTCCCTCCCGCTCATGTTAACAAAGATATCTTAACTTGCACTATCGCCTGTGAGTAACATCCATCCTCCGGAATAATAGAAATACACTTTTAACAACAGTTCGTAGAATTTTGTATTTATTGATAAATTTTATTTAACGCTGGCCAAAATTAATTTAAAAAGCATGAGCGCGCGCGCGCGCGTAGCGACCAGCAACGCGTACGCAGGTCGACTGCATCGAAAAGTGGCAACTGGCGGTGGTGTGCCGTGTGGTGTTGACGAGTCGATGTTCGTCCCTTCCCGGATATAGCTGGGCAAGTAGTTTTTAAAATAGAGAAGCTAACGGAACGTGTGTGCCGCCCGAAAGCGCCGGCTGCTATACCCTTAACCAAATGTGTCACTTGTCGACGAACTGTATAGTAGTTTAGAACTCCTTCATTAAGAAAGGGCAAGCAGCGCGACGCGCTCCTCGCCGCGGACAGACCACCGTATCGCGGACTCGATGCGATTAAAACTTCGACCTATTATAATACACACATGCGTATTATATTTTATTGACAATTTAGTTTTCTTTTATTGACATCGAAATACTACATTTTCCTTAATAATATTATTGATAAAAAGTCATTTCAAAACTTTTGTAAGACATGAATTTATAGATGATTCATAAAAACGATAATTACTGTTCTTTCAATTTAAATTTAAAGACAAATACTTACTACAAACCCGTACTTTAATAAAGACACATCATCAGAATATTAATTAGTTTCTAGTAAATAAACAGTCACAATAAATTGAGTCATTCGGAATGAATGAACCTGATTCCTTGTGGGTCTTGACCGACAACTTCTTTGGAATGTGAGTAAATGTGGAACTCCACTAACGTATATCAATAAGAGTTACCGACATTATTTTACTACAATTGGTTATTATTGTAATTAATATATTCTAATGAGTTTAAAATTAACTGAAAATTGAATGTATTTTTTTTAATTTCCTTATTAATAAAAAGTTTTAAGGAGGAGAGACTTTTTAAGTTAAGTAAATATTTAAAAAGAGTTGTTCATAGTTGTAAGTTTTAACTAGTAGTCTAACAGCCATGCGCTTTTTACACAAACTTTTACTGACCAAATCCAATAGACTTCCTTAGTTTTTTTTTTCTAGAATGTTTTGGTCGGTTATGCAAATTTCACCGCATAGGCATTCAAAATAGAACGAAATTAGAGTCGGCTACTTTTCTCAACCCTACTGTTCAAGGAAGTCCCCTCCGCTGACTTGTCAAATTCTGACGAACTTGCCGTTGGCCCCATTGTGACTATCTAAGCCATGAATGATTATGCACCAAAATTGTCCAACAATAGAATATACACAAGAAAGACAAGTTTTGAAAATAATGAAACCCGACTGATTGTCACTTTCACTTTCCTCTAAGCCTACTTTTCACCCCTGTATATTTGGACTCTAGTTAGCGATATTATTTTTATTGTGAATTAAATTCAGAGCAATTCATTCAATTGTTATTTATTTCCCCTTCATTTAAACTTTAAGCTATTCAATGTGTAGCGGAATTTAATAAACATTCAAAGGCACTTGATGCTGGTATCAATCAGATAAACTCAAAAATACTATTGAAAATATTGATTGTTATCAATTACTTCAATAATTTTATTTGGTGTAGTGACTTTCAACTGTGCGCTTATGATAGATACATTATGACTCAATTTATTGACTTATTTGTTTTTATTCTATGTGACCTTTGTGATCCTCGCCCAAGATATGATTTCCGAGTAAAATTATTATCAGAGTATGTGTAATATGCTTTTATTTTACATAAATTTTTGAAATAATGAGTCATATAATGAAGTATCAGTAAAAACGCTGCCTTCTCAGAAATCTTTAACGAAATCTTCAAAGCTGATTTCATAATTTTAGGATGACAAGCAGGAAATATCTTAAGATCTTTTAATTACGTTGATAAGATACTTCGCTTTAAGATCTTAATAATTCTACTTTTTAAAATCCTATATCAATATAGGCTCTACATTAAATTATTATTTTACAAATATTTTTCTAGTTTAACATATCTTAGGATTCTATAAATAAATCAAATAAACGAGCTAAAATTATTAATATAACGACATCTATGTCAAAAGCTATAACCATTGTGGTATGTAGTATGCTGTACTTTCATATAATCTTTTGCTGTTCTATCGATCCCCACAATTCTCATAGATGGCATTAATTTTAAAAGACCAGTAGTGCCATCTATGATCGAAGCGGAGTACTTATGATTGAATAAAACCCAGAAAATGAATTCACCCCCAAATATATGTGCACCCTTCGCTGTGTTACGAAATTACCTTAGGGCGGAACCCCAAAAGAAAAGTGGGTGGTGCCATTTTAAAACAGTAATACCTACAGATAATACATACTATGTGGACAATGAGAATATCATTTTACGGTTCCTTAAAAATCCATTATTTTTATTTGTAGTCGTTTAATACAAATTATTTAATTCAAAAATGGTAAAAGACAATATTTTTAACACATTGTCGTTAATGATATAATCTGAATAATTATTAAAAAATAATTGCGTAAGGATTTGATTACTCCGTAGGAAAATTTAGCCTTCCAAGTAAAATTTCATTGTATTTAGCCAAAATAGTTTAATAAGGGTTAAAAAAGAATAAAAAAAACCTACTTATATTATAAATAAGAAAGTTTATAGGGATAGATGTACTGATGAGCTATGTACGAATGTTCTGATGTATAAACTCAAGCAAAACAAAGTAGTGTTCATTAGGTACACTATTACTATACTAGTACAGATGTAACGATGTACAGATGTACGGGGGTTTAGATGTGCAGATGTACCGGTGTACCTGCCAATAAACCGATGTACCGATTTACAGATGTATATGTATGTATAGAAGTATGGCAGTACGTTTGTTGTTTTTCCTCCCAAAAACTGTTGAGTGTTTTCTCTCAAAAAATCATTAAGTATGTGAAAATTTTGTGGGCAGAAACTAGTTATACATCAAATATAATTGTGTATATAGATGACCATCATCGATTCCCATAGAATTTGTTTTTATATTACGATCGATTTCGGAAGAATTAAATCTTGACGAGAATAAATATAAAAAAAGACAATGCATGCTTAGACAAAATAAAATTCTAAAACAATTAAAGCCATTTGAAAAAATATTAGTTCACATACGATAGTTTCATAGAAATGATAATACATTGAATGATATAAAATCTGTCTGTAGCTAACAATTATTAGATCGATATAATCGGATCGGTTATCGGAATCGAATCGGAATCGGAATCGAATAGCTTATCCCATTAGAGCTCGTGGTAATTTAAAGAACTAAAAGTCACCTACTTTTATACACAGCTTCATCCCCATTACAGGTTCCATTGGTAACGGGTTTGCTGTGCTCCTCCTGGCTCCAAGAGGCTGCTGCTGCCGCTGCTGCTGCTGCCGCGGCCGCCGCTGCTGCTGCGGCTGCACACACGCTGCACTCTGAAAATATATATAGAATAATATTTCCATACACTTATAATTTTAAATATGACAATAAAATGTCTTGTTTGTATCCATTACCTAGAAAAAAATATTGTAATATGTTTGATGGAATATACCTAATACACAGAATAAGGTATGTAGGTATAATCATTGAGAAATGAAAATATGTAATAATAATTCAGTTAATGATAGTTGAAATTATATCTTCTTATAAATTCAATATCAAGACACACAATACTAAAAGCCATATAGAAATTATATAAAATTGTGTATAAGTGGAAATGTAATGAAAAATATTCTTTACTATCCCGTAACAATGAAAATAGAACACAGTCACAAAGTTAAGAGTTATTAATTTATTATTTTTAGAAAATAATTTTAAGTATTAATTTGGATTGTTGAGTGAGAAACAGAATTGATTTGTATGAAGTAGAACGATCCAAACTTGTAGTAAGTATATTGAGTAGAAAGCAACTGCGGATAACTAATGACTAACGAATTTGTATAAATCTAGTCATAGTTAAAGTCAATTCTAGCTCAATAATAAGTAACCAAAGGAATTTAGACAGATGCAGTTGCAGTTTATAAATATGAATGTATTGCGGGATAAGATCAAGTAAGAAAGCCCAAGATATAGATATATTGAAGTCTTTTAGGCAGTGAGATAGTGATGCCGATTGTTAGACATAAGACATCTTTGTATCCCATTACCATTAAAATGGCGTACCTTAATTCATGATTGGTTGCCAATGTTAATAAAATTTTATCCCAATGCATTCCAAATGATAAATTTCCAAATTAGAGTTATATAGTAAGATGGGGTAAAGGTTCAGAAAACTCTTGCAAAATCTGTGGGAAGGCAGTTGAAACTGCTAAGCATTTGCTGGTGGGATGTAAAGTACTCCTGGGTAGCGGTCAATCCTCGCGACATTACTATAGGATTCTGAAAATTATATATGAAGTAGTTAGTCTTTCAGTAGGTAGAGCACAAAGGGAAAAACCACAAACGAGCGATCAGTAGGTTTTGTGAAAGAAGACACTAGAGCTATAAAATCTATCTTTAAAACGGCTTTGGATTAGACTATAATGATGGATACGTATGAGAAACATTACCAAATTCAGAGGATATTTGTGCGTCAACCTCGATACCAGACATATTTATGTATTCGCAAATTTATAAGAAGGAGGTAAAAAATATATAAAATCCCATGTCCTTGATCATACCACAGGACCTAGGGAAATCTTAAGCGCATTTTGTCGGCATTCAGAGCGGTACGCCAGAAAATTAAGAAATCGATGGCGGTAGATGATAAATAACACGACCAAACTAACAGACATTCATATCTCGTCTGCCCGTGGTCACGGTTGCTGAAAAGTAACCTAAACGTTGGGAGAATGTAATTTTTTGCAAAAATAAAGTATACGTAGTATGTCCGAAAAATATTGGTATCATATTTATGTATTCGCGAATTTTAAAGCGCGTTGTTATAATAGAGCTTATAGTTCATTGGGAAACCATCATCCCCAAAGACCATGCCATCAAGGTCCATAAATATTAAGAGCTCACAAACGAATACACTCGAAATAGGTTTGATTTGTATTTGTATTTGTAGTCGATTTGTGCGCAGTAGAAGTGGGAGCGCGAGGTATAACGCTTAAATCTCTCTACAACCTACTAAAAGACTTGAGCCTGTTTAGAACTCATATCAATTTATTCTTGGAACGTGCTTCAAAGCTGCCCTGGTGGGTTCTTTTCAAATTTGGTTAGGTAGAGAGAGGAGTTTGGATGGTAGAGCTAAGCGTTTAACGCGCGTTAGATAGGGGCCCCTTAAACCTACAATAGAGTCGCAAGTCCAAGGCACTGTTGAAGCTCCTCTCCCTGCAACGCGATGGACCCGGCACTTGCACGGTGAATCCATTGAATGATAAGAGTTTTCGTCTTTCTCGGCTTGAGTCGTGGTACGATGGCTTAATTGGTAAAGTAACTGAAGCTGACAACTGAGTATTGACAACTCTTATATGTCTTTTATTTTACCCTCCTGTTACTTTGCGCTTCTATCATAAACTGCTTATGCAATTACCGTCTTCACTCTCTCCGTTATTTAATAAGTTTTGCAGTTAGTAAAAATGATATTAACTTTATAAGTGATGTTTAAACATTAATATTAAATGATTTCTTAATTGATCAGTAAACGAGTGAACAAGATCATGTAAAGTGTACAATTTACAGTTTTAAGTGTATTTAGAGTTTTAAGTGCAATTACAATACAACGAGTTTTTGCTATATTTGCATTATATATTATAGGGGTTTTCTCCAAATTCGACAATCTATTCTAAACTTTTAGTCTGTTTTATTCGATATATTAGATATATAATTGTAAAGCTCGGTGACAATCAATAAAGCTCCTTTTGCACGGAAACTTACTTAATAGTCCCGTATACATCACAAAAATTCCCATTATTAAAAGAAATAATTCGAATATTCTAGTAAAATAACAATTACCCAATAAAAACTAGAGTCTTAGATTAACTAGGTATATATAGTTCCATAACTCATAATATTATTAAATATATTTTTCAATATTGTACAAATAGGTTCCAAATAGCTGGTTTTTATACATTTTTTTATTAAATCTTATCTTTAGAGATCTTCTAAAGAAATGATAATTTCTTTTGTAATCTCATATTATATTTTTGTATGAACAAACAACACAGTAAAATAGGGACAGTCTTTTATTAATTAAACCACTATTTCAACTCTCTGAAATTGCTAATATTCTACATAATTTTAATTTGAAAAAAGCTCACTGAAATATGTAAATAAAACTAGCACTTGGTGTCCGAAGCATTCGTTTTGAAGTAATTTTTGTAAATACTTACTCATTATTTCTTTATTATATGTACATAAAAATAATATAAGCACGCACTTGTATATATATTTATAGTTTAAGTGGAATGAGATTTACAAATATTAAAAATTGTAAGGTAAAAAAATGGATACTAATAAAATCGATAATAAGTAGAAACAGATTACAACCTTGATCCTAATTTAACTATATGGGAATTGATATATGGATCTTTTACAAACGATTTTTTTTTGTGAATTTGTATGACTTGACTATACGAGTACATATTACTTCGTTTCAGTCTGAACTCTTAGCTTTTAATAATAATTCAGATGACCTTTAAGACAAAAAACAAAATTGTATTTGCATAAAAAAAAAACTTTGTAATGAAATAGATAAATTCCTAATAAACAAAATATATTATATCAAGTTTAATCTAGATTGATGAAGACCATTAATTTATACAACACATAATATATAAAACTCACCCTTCATGTAATTTTCGAAGCACCCCTCAACAATCAACTGAGTATCACATAGCCATTGTTATTGTTAAATATTAAAATAGCTAATTTTTTATGTACCGCAACATTTTATGGATACAATAGCACTTGTTGAACTATTAAAAAAATGTCAATAAATCTTATTGGCGCTGTATCGATTGATTGTATCGTTTTAAATGTTTTTTTTCTATAGTTGTATACATTATAGAGAAGTGTTGCGTGTGACGATTTGCGAAAGACTGACTGCTGAATTTTTTCGTACTGGGGTTGACGCGCATGATTGGGGGTGGTATTTACTGAGAATAAATAATAATATCAAATAGGTTTTGATATAAACAGTTGGCTAATATTATATTTTAATATAATAAACACAATAAGATCATACTAAAGTTTAAAACTGTCGCACCATTATCAATTGTACGAAAAATGTGCAAAAAAAAAATTAAAAAAACATATGAAAAAAGTATTCACGTAATTTATAAATAAGAAATTATTAATTTTTATGAATTAAATGTAACATACGGTTTTATGTATGTATTTAAAAAGACACAAAAGTTTACAAGAACTTTCTGTTTTGGTCTTGCAAATAAAACACCATAATGGCCAAAAAAAACCCTTATCGATTTTAACTAAGTCATTTAATATGATAACCTTGTTTGATTTACTTTTTGCATGAAACAGTACTTTCAAAATGTTATAATGTCAAGAAATGGTAATAGAATATTTACTTAGTTTTTATATCGTCGCATAACTTTTATAAATACACTGGGTATGTTCGTCATCAATCATAATGGCTTTAACTAATTTAATAACTTGTTCCTTACTTAACTTTCCTTATATTTTAAGGTCTGTCGTACTAATTTACGTTATTATAAAAAATAAATTTAACCACAAATTAAATCTACTATTTACGATTGAAAGTGTTTCGCCCTATATTGGGTATAAAGTATAATAAAAAAAAATCTCTTCTAAACTTGGTCACAATGTCAGCCATATTTGTTCTCGACGCATGCGCTATGAATGCAAACAGCCGGCCGTTCGCACATCTGCTGGTCAACTCGTGGACACAATATGAGTAATGTAACCATAAATTTATAAATCATAAGAATCATGATTATCATAAATGACACTATATCATGCCATTTATTACTATAAATTTCTACATTTATTTCTAGTTCACGAAAAACTATTGGAAATTTAAACATTAATAAAAGTTATCAATTGTGACTTCATGCGAAGCTGTTAAATTTTATTTCTCTCAAAAGTTAATCCCGGATCGTGTCTCTTATATTCTACACGACACTGGCAGAATATACTGTGCACGTCTTTGCACGGATTGCCATATTTTTAAACAAACAACCAACCGATTTAAACATACCTACATCCAATAGTTTTAGTATCGATAGATATTTAATAAAAATGTACAACGCCTGTCTTACATTTAAATGAGTTTCTTAATCATATGAGGGTGGTTTTTGAACAAATTATGGTAACACTATCGTTACCTGACCCCGCAGCATCAGAACTACGCATTAAACGGTCCAAATTGTACTAAATTACATTAAAAACGATAAATCTCAAAATAAAAACAACATTTCATAACATACACTTAACAAATTTTCATAATAATGATATAAATAAGTATAATATTTAAGAAATTTAAATTTAAAGTTTAAATCTTAATTAAACTTTAATTGGCAGAGTAATATTACAACTATTTCGAGCGCCTACAAATAATGTCGCAATAAAAAAGACCAACAAGTGTTATTGCTATGAAATAAAAGTATAATTGTTATGATAAAGAATGAATATAATAATTCATGAAATATTTATGTTTAATAATCTTTGAGATCAAAGGTCCCGCTCGTCTGTAAATAGGGGAGTTTTTTAGGAATTGGATTTAATGAAAAAATCTCGTAAAAAAATATAATGTACGCGTGGCGACAAACAACCAATCTGAATCTATTATTATGATTTACGATATTCTAAATTTTATATAAAGGTTTTATGTAGATTAATAATTCCATTTTAATTTATAGAAACTTTATAATTTGTAAGTAAAATTGCTTAGGTAATCGATTTATATTGCAGCATCACTATTGACAAATAAATAGAATGATACACACTTTAATATACGTGAAATAAAACATTGTGAGTGACGCTTTCAAAGATATAATTAACACATTTTTTCATTTATTTTTTTTTGGTGGAAATCAATGCTCAAGGCGCAGATGTAAGCAGAATCAGACTGACCGTTCCCTGTCAATCAATTTTAACAGAAAAAGCTGACCCCTCGTTGACCAAACAAAAAATATAAAATACACAAAGAGATGTAAAAAAACTATACCGAATAAGCCCAAATTAATGGGGACACTATTCATAGAGATTATGCTCACGTGCCATAATAAATTTGGTTTGATATAAAGAATAGAAAAAAATGTAGTACAAATTATATTTCTTTATACTTCAAGATTACTGATATATCTATTTTGGTTCCTATATAAAACGTGATATTTTTTTATGTTACTAATTGATTAAATTCTAGAGAGGATTTCAGTACCTATTCTTATGTAAAAAATCATTTAAATGGACTTTGGTGATTTAAATCAAACCATTCAATTTTAGGTTTAACCATTACCTATTAATGATATAAAATATTAAATTTTTAATTAAATGCAATTTATATGAATAATATATTCAGTTTGAAATTAAAAAATAGTTTTTTAAACTAGGTAATTAAAAAAAGATGAAACACGTATTCAGAAGTACATTTTAATACACTAAATCTGTAATAAAAATTAAAATTATAATATCAATATTTATAAATTGATAAATATAACACATTAGGAACGTAAAATCGCTGACACCGCGCATGCGTCACCACCAGCCCTTATTCGTTAGGGGGCGGTAGCAGCCGTTAGCAAAATATGACAAGTTTTTGCCTATTTGACAATACTCTTCAATCATGAGCCGCTCTCAAAATATACTACAATACACGAATTAAGAGATGACAAAACTGAGTGACAAGTTAAAATCGCGATGTTTGTTTATTGGCAGATTATTTTGTATTTCATGATGTCACTGAGGGCGTTACGTTATATGGTTATGAATTAATTCAGCTTATAATTATTGTGTTTGTCTATTTGATTTGTAAATATGAAGTTTACTTTAAATACCGTCAATAATCGACAAAAATAATCGAGAATTTATATACAGACACGTATTAAAGTAAAAAGATATGAGTTTTGAAGTTGATCGTTAAAGTGATTATTCTTTCAAAATGGTACGATTTTTTAATAGTATTGTTTTCGAAAAGTTAGGTTTATTTGTAGCTTTGATGTATGTTGGAAGCATGTTACAAGAAAGTCCTAAGATAATAAAACAATACAATTTAATTGATAGAACCAGTTTTAGGGGAAAAAAATTAAACTCTTGCCATCGTTTGGTTAAAAAACAAAATATAGAATTAAAAATTCGAACATTATGTTGCTTATTTTTTTTTTTGAGAGATTGGAGGAGAGATTTTAAAATCACAAAGAATAATATGATCATTATGTTTGTCGTAACATTTAGAGATTTTGTATTTAAGTAAATTAAATCAAATACTACTGTTAACATCAAAAATTCTTAGTATCTATATCAAACAGAATTTCTAGCATCGATATAATTTTAGTGGAATGTAAAAGGGCGCGGACCCTTTAAGGGCACATACGTTACCATTGGTCCATATTCGGAGGGGAGCTGCGCCTTAACACTAGGGTCGAACGGGACCTCGCGCAGCCAATCAATCCTCATATTTTTTAAATAAAGAACATAAAAATAGTAAAAAGCATTACATTTTTTTACACATGGCACGTACCCCTATGTACAGTATAATGATTAATACGTTCATGTTTATTTACATGGGTGGTTTGCCAGGTCCTTTTTAGGGTTATGTGATGTTTAAAATAAGCTATATTTATATTCAGTCAGATTACACTATAAATTTACTTAAATATATATCGTAGGATCGATTGTGATGTTATATGTGATTGATTTAAAATGAATAACATATTAAGAAAAGCGCCTTAATATTTTGAATAGTAATTCAGAATTGTGTTGTTTTGTCACAGAGATAATAGGGTTTAATTTTATATAATAAATGGGCTGATGTTTATATTAATGATTCTAATATTATTATATAATTATAAAGAACAAATACTAATAGGTTTTAAAATTCATATATTGGTTTCTTTAACATTAGTTCTGTATCTGTATACACGGTATGTCCTGTTTCTAAGGCGTACATAATTCTTAACCAATTGTTATGGTTCTTCGCAATAAGGAATACTTACTACATACATACATTTTAACGTATTATGTTAAAAAAACATTTTCATCTGTGTATTGTCATTTAATTTAATTTAACAAAACTCTAATTACACATATTTTATAGACTGGGGAAAATTTAATAGTCCTCAAATTAAAGTTACCATAGGTTTGTATCGCCATACTTGATATTATCTACGTGGCGTTCGCCGTTTCTAATTTAATATCCCACCTTAATACTATGTGCGAGAATTATGAACGTATGTCATGTGATAATGCAAAATTAGAATAAGTATTCAGAAATAAATCAGCTTTTGGTATAGGTAATACATAATTAATAAATACTCAGTCTGCAAGTTATATTGAAAATACTTTTCTGAATTATTATTCTGGTCGGAATATTCAACGAGTTTCAACATAACTATATAATATAGATTTATGGAAATAATATTTTAAAAAATTTAAATAACTGTACCAGTTATTTAAAATAATATGAAAAGAGAATATTATTTATATACTACTCTATATACCAAATACATTCAAAGATTCATTATTTTCTATTTCATTGTAAAGATTTACTTTTTTGAAGTTCAAAACAAACAATATTTTCATTTCATACGTGCATTTTTTTAGTGATCAAAAAGTAGATGCCTTAAAACGCAATCGATAAAAAGATTCTAATATGCGCCATCTGCTGGAAAGTAATGAAACAATATACCCAATGCAACAGCCTACAATATACGCCTAGAATTCTATACATGAAATGTCATAAAATATTCACTAGATGGCATTTAACACAAAAATTGTTAATAGAATATAATAACCAATAAGAATTGTTTGTGACTGCTAATGGCTAGATATTTTTTATCCTACTCTTGAATACATCAAACTACATCATATATCTCAAATTCCTTCCAGTTGCCCTCTCCAGTTCCAATTATAAATATTTTCCAATAAGATGGTTTTCATTACTAACAGGCACGATTTGCATTCTGCTAAGAATAAATATTCTAATAATATTATACATGGATACTTTGTACTAAGAAGAAATGTTTAAAATAAATCATAATGAATCCCGACGCCACGTCATAATAAAGCATAATGGAACGGCGTATTAAGGCGAGATTATCCCGAAGTGCTAGGGCAAGGGCCATGTAACGGTACGCCATGTTTCGATTTCGTAGAGCATTTCACCGCCTTGTCCCGTTATCCGCCCGAAAGCACTTTTGTTACTCGCTACGTTCAGCTCGCTGTATGACCGATCTCGGGTTCACAGTATTGAGAACACCGTTTAGATGCCATTATATTTGTTCAAAACAAAGCCACCTTTACAAAATTCGTAGCAACAGAGCTTAAGTTCAACCAAGAACAGTGACCTCGACTTAAACAATGGTACCGTTCTTTATCTAAAATTATACAATAACCTGCAATTTTATTTGAAACATGAAATATGTGGAGATTTAATACAAGTTTGTAAAAGCTGTGGCCTTGCCTTCCTCGGGTCGATGACTGCTGCTGATGTTGTTTATTTTATACAGTGAAGGCAGCTGACGACAATCGAAATCGAGTCATTACCAATTCCAAAAAATGATTCGTTCTGTTCGTGGAATACCAATAACAAAACAAGAATAATGATTTTATTAATAATATTATGGAAAATTTAATTGATATGAAATCTTTAAAATTAATTAAAATGTAGTATTTTTTTTTAACATTAAAGAACTATTGAGTTACTATCGGAGATTTAAATTCTAAATAGAATGACAATATGTTAGGGGAAATAAAAGTCAATTGTTCACGTATAAAGTTGGTTTGAAAAAAAGAAAAAGTGTTCTGAACACATCGTTAGGTTCCGTACTAGTAAAGTGGAGAGGCTTGCGGTGACGTAATTCGTGCGGTTCGATACTCTCGAAAGGCTGCGCGGTCGATGGCCGCTAGACGCGGAACTGCCTACGCTATAGCTCAATTAAACCATCCGCACTTGCTTATTACTATATGCAATATACCCTCCCGCTATATCATTTCTCTTTGTCAAATATCAACAACCCACGGACTCAATCAATTCACATTTTTATTACGTTATCCTTACACGAAGTTCTCATTAGAATTAAGCTTACAGCTCGGTTTTTATTTTATTACATCCTGAATCGTTAATGGTTTCCTCAAAAAAAAATCAATTGTAACTTAGAGAGATAGCAACGAGAATTATGTTACATAAATACGTATCAAAAATGTTGCGTTGCGGAAAATAAAGGCAACATCGAGATCGAGTGAGAGGCGAGCGAAGGGCCACTGAGAGCGAGTTGCACAAGGGTTACAAAACTATGACAATGAACCCGAATGAACCTGGACCTTGCGAACCGCTAACCGAACACAGCATCAGCTTCTCAGCATTAGCTGTTACTTTGTTATCACTATCAGCATTCTACCTGGTGGGAGAATGGAAGTAACTTCCATATTATACAATACAAGGCTTTGTATGAATTTTGGTTGTCCTATTGTACTTTTTCATATTAATATTACTATTTTTTAAAACTTTGACAACCATTGATAATGCACTGAAAGTCTGAAAGCTGTTTTGACATTTTAATTTTAAAAAATCTTGCAACTTGGATGCTTACATGCAATTTTAGGGAACTTTCTAAAATAGTAACTATATGTAGTTTGCAACTCTCATATTTTGTTTATAGTTTCTCTGGTTTTCTAGTATTTTCTCTAACAATACCATATACGAATTACATCAGTTTTGACTTAAAAATTCTTCATATAAGTATATGTCTGACGAATATTTCAATGATCAGATCTTTAAAATACAAATTTAAGAACCCAAAAGACCTTCATCGAAGATAGAAAGAATTATGAAATTAAATTGAAGAATATGAAACAAATGTGACATCTAATATTTTTGCTAGTACTCATTGAAATGAAACTACGTCTTTCGGATAATACTACGCGTTTTTTATCATTGTATAACTACATAAGCCAATGTTTGAGTTCCTTTAAAGCAACAGTGGTTACGGGCAGACGAGATGAAACATAGCATACAAATTATAAAAAAAAATCTTTTATTTTTAATCGGATTAACGTTGCAATTTTTATTTTTAAATAAGAGAGTATATATTTAAATTTAGTTGAATAAATAATATCTATGCTCATTAATATATCATAAAATTTAAACTTTAACTACAAACTAACTGATGGCGTTCCTATTAAAAATAATGAACTCTTACATTGATCAATTAAAACTAAAATCTTTGTTGAATGTAATGCCTAGAAATCAAAAGATCACTGTACGAAATCAGAACAAAAGAAATATTATGCCCTTTTATCACAGTAATTGATGATTTATTTCATGTTAAAACATTTATTGTATTTTAAAACCAAAAGCGAAAAATAAGTAGGAAATTTCTATTATTTTCCATTTATAAGTTCATAAAGTATATAAAAAGGATACAATAAAAGTAAATTCTGAAAATGGTTTTCACTCCTTAAGACAATAACTTTAACTAGACTTTGTGTTATTACAATTTTGTTAGCCTTTAATTAGTACACACACTTATTTCATATGAAAATTATTTCTCGCGCAATACATACATCATGCTCTTAAATTGGATAATATTAAATTCGTTGAATAAATAATTATTTAACTGTTTTATAATAGTACCGAAATAATGTTTTTATAAAGAGTGTTTAAATAAATTATGATAATAGCTTGCATTTATCAGTCCATATATATTCATCCTGTCGAAACCCTATGGAAATAATTATTGAAGATTACCGCGAACAGACTCACAAAAAATTGCTGGGGATATTTTAATCACATAATTTTGCTCGCATCTAGAGGTTTCACAAATATATACAATAATAATTACATATATTATATGCCTACGTGCTACGAACGTATACATAGTCAATCAACTTAAATAGACTAATTTCGATAAATCTCTAGCAATTCAATAATTTAGATTTTCATGAAACATGATATTACACAAGTAAAAACAAAAATAATAAATCATCTTTTTCGTGATACAAATAGCTAATAATTAAAAATGTACACATTCTGTTATTTTAAGTGAAGTATGTAATGTTTTTAATTTCTTATATTTAAATATTCTATATTAATAAAAATCAAGCAAGACTTCATACTTGATAAATTTCATTTAATTTCTATGATACTTAATACTTATTTATTTTTTACATCTTGATTTAATCATATTAATTAAATCATTACGAAACAAAAATGTTATAACCTTCATGTATTCACGTATGTGTATTTAGTTGCACATGTGAAAACTTTGTTAACTTATAAAAAACCGCGGATAAAATTGTAAAAATCGTCTAGTTAATTATTAAATATTGGTGATTGCTGATATTTAAGGTGTTTTTGTTTTAATATTAAATATTATTCACCTTTATTGACGTCCCATTACTTATTAATTGACATCTTGTTTCATTGTAATAACAAATACATATTCGTCTAAAAATAATGACTTTATAGTACTTTCTCTTGTATCAGTATAGTACTATTATTGTCTTACACTATATATTTTTTTGCTATTGAGATAACAACTACAACAGAATAATATGTTGTTTCTTTTTATATAAATACTTTCAATATAAACAATGTTTGTAAAGTAGTTATGGTATTTGACTAAAGAATTTATAGAACGAAAATATTTCTGATATACCTAACAACACAACATTTTTATTACTACTCTGTTTCTAGTAAAGTCCTTTTGTCAGAATGGGTTTCGTATAAATATTTCAAAAATAAGTACACATTTAAACGAAGGATAATTTGTAAGTATCACAATAGAAATTAAAACTTAGTATTTTATGTGTCGAAAAAAATATATAAAAATATACGCAAAAAATTATTTTAATAACGTGACTCAAATGTCGAATTAACAATTCTTTTTATTATATTTTAAATTCGTTGCTTCTGTGTAACTCACACATATAATTTATAAGAGAGCGTTCGTCACAAAAAGGATTTTCAAAGTAAACCAGATTGCAGGATCGCTGCATAAAATTTAGCTTTGCGCATTGCAGGAACCTTTTTGTGACTTTGTCGCACTATGACATTCCTGAACTCTGGAGAGACCTAAAACTAGTTAAATGTATCCTAGACACAAAAACTATACGGAGAACTTTTACTGACACAACCTCAAAAACACATTATACACGAGAGAGTTCTGTTGCTTAGTCTCATATAAATAACAAACAAAATACAAATTATAGTCTAAATACTTTCGGGACTAAACATTTATTTGTTGTATTAAAGTTAACTTGAGACATAGTTTCTCGGAACATAAACTGTTGATGTCTTTGAAATAAAATTTATTATATAATAATGTATGAATAATAATATAAATTATATACAAAAATATAATATTATACGATGGAGATACAAACGACATCAACGTGAGCTGAGTTTTGATGCTGCGCTTGATTCGATGTGACAATCGAATATGTATACAATACATTAATAATGAATAAAATGTATAATACAAGTTATTATTATACAATATATTATAGCAGACTAAGTTTAAAGATCATAACGATTCAAAGTGGCTGAAGTAAATAAAAAGAAAACTGATGAATTGAATGAAATAATCTCTATGAAAAAACTCTTAATTTCTGTTTCCTTTCACCAATATATCATACTTAATTACAAAGGAATTTACTATTCCAAAAACATGATTCTGATTTAATAATATATTAAGAATAAAATATACATATTCATAATTAATTCAAGAATTTAGTGATTCATACGTTATCTCATTTAATTTTGATCATACTTTTTTATTTTTCAAAAACATTTTTTTTTCCTTTCTCCCTCTTCAAAGTTACAAGGAACCCAAAAATCCAATTACAGTCATTTCGTAGTAATAAAGGTAATGTAGATTGCGCAGTATATGCTATTCAATTTTAAATCTTATCCCACAGACTTAAAGTCCAATGAACAGAACCAGTGTTGGTTCACATCGCTCGCGCAGCTAACATCAGGTCTTCTGATGGCTGCCGCAAAATTCCCGCCAAACACGAGTTCATCGAACTCCATTGACACTGTATAAATATAACCAAAGACTTGTAATTCCCAGCATTATGTATTTTATGTCATTCGTAATAAGAACCACGGAACAGCCACCGCGAGGCCTACTGGACTGGTTAAAAAGTAAAAACTTGTGCTTTCGGAGTTACGGCGCGCGTTACAAAATATTCTGTCTCCACATTGAATATTGAAACAAGTGACATGTTGGATTTTTGTTTTTAAAAAACAAAATGGCCCACAGTACATTGGGCTTTTAAATTTTAATTGACTAAAAAAGAATCGGAGTAATCGATCGAAAAGGTAATGACAAAATGAAACACAAGACTTAAATTGAAAGTACATGAGTGATACATCTGTAATAATATGTAGGTAAATTAAATAATGATGATTATTAGATAATTGAATAATAAATATTTAGTTTATTATTATTTTGAATCATCACTTTCCCAAACGGGTTTATATATTTTCTTTACGATATGATAAGGTCTATTGCGAAGCGTCGATGAAAAGTGAATCAACCTGACGTTTGGTTGCGCGGCTACTCACGTTCGTTGACCTCTCAAATTTTCGTTTCGTTGGTTACCGAGCAATCCCCCCCCCCTTCATCCAACAATCCCCTCACTCGCCTAACATCCTCCATTCCGCAAGTTCACGATAATTCACACTTCACAAAATAGCACAAAGACTCGTTGAACACGATTCAAAAAATTTTGTATTCAATCATTTATGATTTATGATCGTATTTGTTTTGATCCAATAGTTTCAGACAATGGGATTGCTGTAAATCCAAAACAATATTTTTAAATAGCAAACTTTTTATCAATACAGATTAGAAAAAATCCTTTCAATATTACATGTGATATGAAAATATCAAAAGAAGTGGTTTGATTACTCTGAGATCGTGCAATCGCCGGATGTGTGTGAGCAAAAACATGAAACCGAACTCGTTTTATGTAATTTTATAATTCGAATCAGAGGATTTCTTTCACGAATGTTATGTTGGTATTATTTATGTACTTCCTGGAAACTAAGCGTCTAACTCCATGGAGGTTTTATAGTGTTATCGAATAAAAAGTATCGATAGAATCAGAATGATGTTGATCCAAGCTAGGCCTTGTCATTGACCTCTATTTCGCCAGCGAGCGTTACAAAATGCGCTGACTGCTCCGCCACCTCGTCACGCTATATCATTTTAAATAAATAGATATTTTTATTTAAACGGAAATGTTTATACAATTGCTAAAAAAATTATTTTACATTAGAATTAAATAAAACTATATTTAGATTACTTAGAAAATGTGTTTCTATGAAGTTTCATCCATACGTAAAAACTTAATATTAATTATATACTAATAATAATATCTCAGACAAAAACACACTCTTTCAATTTAAACCAAACAAAAAATGAGTACTACGCACAAATATTTGCTAAGCTGATTGACATATAGCGGACAGGAAGAAATAACAGTCACAATCTGCATCTGTCACCTCACAAACAAACATTGGATATAGAATTTTAATAGCAGTTCTAAAATTGATCGACATGACCAGACTATTAACTAAAATATAGATAGCAAAGATAAAGCTATGGTGACGGTTTGATAGAATGACAATTGCTGAGTAGGCCAAGCAGTACGGAAGACTACGACGAGGTTCACCATCGTTCAACGTGACACTTTCCGCCGTCATAGCAACTTTCCTAGTAGCAATGCGCCTGAGTCCACTAGCGCCGCGCATCGCGAACGGCTGCCATTGGAACTAAGATGCGCTACTTTTCTAGCCAAGTAATTAATTTATGCCATGACTCTGATTTTCTTTATGCATTTGTATCCCACTTGCTGATTAATGGACCTCGACTGTTTACGTGTGAACACATGTCTTACTCATTACTTAACATATTTAGATTATATCAAACAGAAATATGTTTTATGATCGTCTCATACTACCATTCATCAGAGTAACACAGTTATCATTTAAAAAAATATCTAAACATATTTAACTCACAAATCAATAGAATGAGATTAAAGTCTTTCTTCAATAACATATTCAAAACAAATCTTATAGAAGAAGTTCTCAAATTTTAGCTTACCATATTTATACATAGATACAAGATTTTATTATTATAATTTTTAGATACATAAATAAGTAAGCAAATAGATATATTTAAAATTAAATTTTTATTCCACCATAAGAGCATAGAGTTTTGTCCAAAACAAAATTAATTATGCTTTATTTCACAAATAAAAAAAAAATTTTTTCACTTTATATCATTATTTATCATAGAGCAATGACAAAGAAAACTACAACGTTAGAATAACATAGGACAATGCCACTAAGAAATAATTAATTAGTTTAACACAATAGATTTTTTTGTAAATCTTTTAGAATAAGGCTTGAATAATCTAGTCTAAACCAAAGAGTGTATGTCATCACTCTTCCACCATAAAGCGGTCATTGCCATTCGTTCATATTAAGATAAAGTAAGAATACAAGAAATACCTTTATTCAATCTTATACTTCACACTTTCTATTCAAAATGATATGTTAATCAAATAATAAGTCATAGAATGTTTTAGACTTAATGTATCACCAACTTGAAATGTAATATAAGAATAAGATTTTACGCTCTGTAATCTGTAGACTTTAAAAGCTTTATGGAGACTATAAACATTGCATTTACTTAGTATTAAAACAAATGCTTTTTCAATTAAGTGGTTTTATACCAAAAAAATAACGTAATGGCAAACATGTGTATATATATATGAGTTCGTATAAAGTAAAAGGTAAAGTATAAATATGATATCGAAGCATATAACCGTAGGTTCAACTCGTAAATATAACTCAAACATTCCAATACATTCAAGTGACTATTTCTCTATTCAAATCCATCCTGTCCCTTCAAGTACGTCGTTACACAGCAGGATACCGGAATGGTAACGGGACTCGTCCTTTATTCTTACTTTTTTTCTAAACTATGGACCACTGAAGCATGCGTTCACTTTTAACAGTGATGACCATTGAATTTCTATCTCACGTTTTGTCACCAATTTATTTTTTATCACTAATTCCTTCCACAAAACTATTCTGTTTTAGGTACAGAAAAAATATTAAATTATAAGATTGTTTTATATTATTTTTAACAAGTTAACACTATTAATTAAAGGATAACAACATTTATATCTGTAAATACGTGTTAAAAGAACAACATATTAAAGAATTAAAACAATTCGTAAGTTAATTTATGTCACAGAAAATAAGCAAAGGACTAATGTTTTCAAAGTTGACACGTATTATCTACGATTGATTTAGGGCCCGCATGTTAAGAACAATATACAGTAAGCAGCTACTTTGTGGTCAAACTAGAAGGTCTTTGTTTATGTTTCCTTTGTATGAAATAACGGACTCAGTATAATACCTTGTGACGTCACTACAATTTTAACAAAATGCACTTTTGCCGTCACAGCACCGTTACAATGTAACAGTTTCTAGTGTAAACCGAGACCCATAATACATAATACCAGTTCTGAGAATAAAAGGACCTTAAGAATAATGATCTCCAATGACATATACAGGTTGTAAATCTTAAGGCTGTGACCAATCTGAGGTTTTGAATAATTTAAACCTTCGTCTAAAACGTTTTGTAACCGGTTAATAAAGTAGCGCCTGCGGTTATCAAGCAATAAATGATTTTTAACTGTAAACATGTACGGTACGCTATTGTAATTTACTATTAGCTGCAATCGAATCAAACATTAAATAACAGATGTTTTGAACGCGAAATATCAATTGTAAATTCAATTAACATGCCACTACTCACTAGCTTGCAAATGCCGTTTCTTATGTCAAATATTACGGGACTTATAATGAAACTGGGGTTGTTAGAAAGGATGAAGAAAAAAGCCTGTGATTATTTAACCCCATCCGGTATTTGGGCTAAACATATGGCCCTGTAACCCTTTGGCCCCGTTATATCGCTTCGAGAACAGTTGCTTTATTTATTTGTATAATAGTTTTAGGTTTTTTTTTCTAATGACCCATTAAACTTCATTCTATTTACGCCAGGTGAAACTTTTTTGTTGCCTTAAATTTTTTATTTGAAATTTAATTAAGTGATAGTTGCAGACATGCTATTTTTATATATAAGATTTGAATCGACATTTGTTTAATAGTTAAAGGGTATAAAAATGATGAAGACAAATTTTGACTGGTTATTCCATGTTTGTGTTACATATGTTACAAGTGCTTAAAAACAATGACATCACGTTGATAATTTATGAAATTCATGTATATTTAAAAATAAAAAAAAATTGATCTTATGTTTTCAGCACTCATAAAATATATTCTTTAGAATCCCCATCAAATCATATTTTCAATTTCAAAACGGAATTAAATAAAATTTAAATTTACATAAAACCTAACGACGATTTCAACAAATTCCAACAAGGTAAACAACATTGCAAATGCAAATAAAGAATCATTCGCCATGTTATCATCATTTATCAGATTAGTTATCTAGTGTGCTAATTTATTTTCACTTTTCGACATATCGAGCGCGTACCGAGAGAGCCGTGACGGGGAGCGTCCATTTATCGATTCCAGGAATTGACGCTTTCCATCGTACTGCATCTTCCCGAGGAAATGCATGCGGGTTCGTTGCACTTACCAACTCGTAACCCCCTTTCTAAAGCACCGATCCAATTATGTGCACTTTCGCAAGCCACTGTCACTCGCCTAGATACGGATAGGAAACTACGATGCGCTTGTTCGCCCACCTGCCACTGACGTTTAGTTATGACAGAACCAGAAACACGGTCCATTTGATACCCCGATATTATAGCTTAAGATGACCTAAAACTACATTTTATCGGCATCTCAAAATTTTAATCTTGAAACATTCCATAAAAAAATACAGTAAGTACTATATATAATTTAAAAAGTATAATATTAAATAAATAATTAATAAATCGGTGATAATATTTCGATCAGTTTCCCAAGTTCATGAATGCTGTAAGAAAGTTTTCCCGACGTTATCACGCTCCGCGGCGCACGCTAATGAAAACGAGACAGGTTATCGAACCCGTCTGCTGAAACGATGCGACTAACCTAACGCGTTATGCATCATACTTTAATTTCAGTTTTTGAAGCCTATTTAAAATTTTTCCGGTACAATATTTTTAATTATAAATTAATATTCCTTAATATTATCATTTGATTTAATAATTGATTATTATATGTTATGTGTTATTAAAATTTGAGGATTATATAACGTAAGTACGAAAAAAAATACATGAAATAAATCTTACTTAATCGTTTCTAATGTATAAGTGTTACACGTTTGTCAGTGGTTTAGTGTCATGATGAATTAGTTATAGTAAGTATACGGACAGGCTTGTCCGACATACGATTTCCAGAAACTAGACAGGTCGAACTTGTCGTAAAGACTGCAAATACAGTGAAGACTAGTCACTAGAGTGCATTGACACACTTACCTACTGCAGTCTGCAGCGGCGAAATTGCATCGGCGGTGCGTACTCACTTCTGCGGACAGAACCAAAGTCATTAGAGCCCATCTACCCTCGCATCCGAACGCAGTGTTAGGAGACACGCTAGAACTGTGAGCTCAAGATATAATGGACAGATTATAAATCACTGACGCCTAAGAAAAGTGGGATGACGTCCTCGCAACGATGTGGTTTTCACTTATAAACACGAACCCCGAGAAAAGTCGAAGTTTTACTTTTTTATGTAAGAAATATGTATGTCACTAGGAACATCTCTTGCAGAAAATATAAAAAAATGAATACTTGTAAAACAAATTACATGAAAAAAACATATATTTAAATGAAATTAAAGAAACAAATAAAAACAAAAAATACGTTACTTATTGTTTTTCAAAACATTAAACAAGATATATGTATAAAAACAGTGAAATAAAGTAACGAAATACGAAAAAAAAATTGTATAAAAAAAGGATCTTCAACGCCAGGGAGAGTTTTAAAACCAGTTCATCCTTATGTAAAAAATGAAAATAAATATTTTGGGCTGCATTATATAATAGATGCGTTGCAATATAAACGCGTAGTGCACTTGACACGGTCACGAGTTCATTGACAGCGTAGCGGCCGTAGCAATGATCAAAATAAACATTATTTAAATGAAACGTCATTTGAATTATACATTTGAATAAACTATCATCGAATATTTAAAATAAGAATCCTCGTTTCGTATAATTTGATATTTACTTTCATTTATTATTTCCGTTGTGTAAGATACGAATAGTATTAAAATGATGAAGTTTAAATTCATTATTTCCTTCTTACAGTCATGGTTATTGTATATTATTAATAACTATATTAAAACAATTATTTAAATAAATACGATTTAAAAATTTAATCATCCGTCCGTATTATAACTACTGTAAAATTTTACAACAATAAATACAAATAACTCTTTCAAATTCATTGACAGTTGAAAATGTAACATTGAAATAGGTACAATCAAAATAACTTTTACTTTATACAGAGCTTTCATTGTTTTTTTAAATAACAATTGAGGTTTGTCAAATAAAAACTACTATTTTTTATTATTATCATCTTTATAGTTTAAATCTCATCTTATTTATCCTATTATCAATCTATGAACATATATGATTATATTCAGAATTATCTAAATTATGACATTATTAGCTGTTTTTTCTAATATACATAATATGACGAAGAAAGTGTTTAAAAATATGAATATAAATAAATATATTATACCGTTACACATATAACTTTATTTTATATAATTTTATTTCATAAAACTATCAAAACATTTTTAAAGACTCATTCTTATTTTGATATATGTATATCATAAATGTATGTATTTTTATAAAAGCTTATCATTACATATTAAATATAAATAATCAGTTAGTTGTATAAATACGTGTGAATAAAAGATCGTACAGTATGAGTGTGAGTGTATGAGGTGACAATGAAAGTATGAAAGTTTCTTGCTGCGATAGTTAGAAGCAATAAGGCCACCCGCGTTCATCGGCCCCGAAGTCAGCTCCGTTACGCCGGACACCTCTCGCTGATCGCCACTGATATAACATATAATAACCAGTCCTGGACAATAAGTGGCGGCGATTTTTTTATAAGCATCGGGAATTCTATATAACTGTAGGGAATTTTTATAAGCGTAGGGAATGCTCGTCATTTGTATTCAATATGAAGTCATTGATAAACGAAGTTTTGTTGATATATGTAGGATTTGTTTTTATGTATTGACTTAGCAATTTTCGCTTATAATTATTATAAGCCATATTCAATAATTTCTTCATAAGTTCATGTTTTTTATAACTACAATTTCAAGAACGGAAAACTATTAATTAATATAATTTATCACATAAAATATTTTAATCCTGATAAGTCATGAATACCGTCGATAAATTCCTTGGTATACAACTATTAAGTAATCGGTAATAATTATGTTTGCAGCGAGTTTTTGGCATCTTGCATCGGTCGTTAACCCAAAACGACAGCCTTTCATTTTCCGCTTTTGGGTTCGTGTTTGTTAACATGGATTTTAAAATATTATACCACGAAAACAACTATATTAATATCAACTATATCTGTTTTAAGTCAGACATCGAATTATTCTTAATTTAATTTATTAAATATTTCTTTAATACATAATATATAATTTATAATCAAATTTATAAATTATGATACAAATATTCTGTAATATTAAATATTAATAAATTGATGTTCACAGTATATAGTTTATGAAAATAAGCATATAAAAAAAGATTTTTCTTTATTTTTAAATTGGACGGAAATTGAAATGTTTTTTTTAACTTATAAATTTTCAAAAAAATATATGCTGTGATTGTTTTCTATGACAGAACCATTTAATCTATTCTGCACTAGTTCCAGGACATTTTAGTAAGTTCAATATTATAAGACAACTGGTTTCCATAGAAAGTAATAACGGTGTAAGTAGATGCGTGTTCGCGTTTGCGGGCAAACGTTCGCCGGCCATGATTCACGAAACTTCGCTCGCTCTGTGACATAATAAACCCGAATCAACATTTTCTTTGCCTTTGCTTAAAACCTCCTTATTCGTCTTAGTCATACTTCTTGATGTGCGAGTCATATTGAATCCAAGAATCGAAGTGTAGCTCTTAACAAACAGGAAAAAAACGTCAGTCAAGACGACTTGAGAACAGAAATATTATAATATGTATGTAGATTTAATGTTCACACATAAGCGGATTTCTGTAACAATGTTAATTATTCTCTTATTATGTCCAGGTATAACGTGGTCGACGAAAAAGGATACGAAACTATGGTTCACATCAAATAACAGCGATGCTATTGGTACATATACTATTGCAGCAGCTTTCGGATAATGTAACAGTTGCTTATGCTTGTAACAATTCTGCTATAGGTTCATTGAACTTTCGCGAGTGCAGAATGCAGGGTGGGGGAGCCACACTAGGTCAGACCCGGCCATCGGCACACTTACCTTGACTTGACGCACTCGGCGACGCTGCTCTAGCACCGCATAGAAAACTAGCCAATATCCAGAGCCAGTTTCACGTAATTATTTGTATGCTAATAAGTAGTAGATGTGATGGTGGGAATTTTCGGATTCGTAACAAGTACAAATGACGAAATGACGGAAATTCTCATACGTAAAGACTTATGCATCCTCAGATTCAAAGACTACATGAGCTTCCGAAAGTTTAATTTTAAGGAGAAGGTAATCAGTAGTTTACTGGGGAAGTTACAAAAACCAAATTAATTGATAATAATAGCTGACGAATTATTTTATATATTATTTTTTCCACACCTTCTCTAAAACATGTTAGAAAGAAGCGTAATGTAGAGCATTCTAGAGTATATAGATATATGTACAATTTTATTCTACCTTTTATTTAAAATTTTTAGTACTTCGGTACTGTACCAAATAGAAGGATTTATCAAAGATAAAAACTAATGAAAAACATTGCTCACAATTGACATAATACATACTCGTACATAATTCATTAAATTATCACTCCAGTTCTTTAGATTTACTTATCAAATACTTTAGCAATTGTTTATACGCTATCATTAAAGAAAATATTCTTTTGAGACAATTATTTTCAGGCAACAACTAACCTTGTAACCTATACGGCAATCGGGTTTAAAATTAAAAGTAAATGAATTTATTGAATCAAAAATTTCGCTAAAATCTAAACACAATATATATTATAAGTAGATTTGTTAAAATTATCAAGCTTTTGTTTTTAAACATATGTTATGTGAGTTATGTATTTTTTATTTAATTAAGTTTCAATAAACATAGTAATTAATGAAATGAATTAAAAAGAATAATTCACATATAGGACAAAATTAAGTTGTAAAATTCTGTATGCAAACACAAATCCAAAATTTAATTTATGCCCACATATTAAATAATTATTTTATTTGATACCTGTGTATGAATATTTTGACAAAAATTATCCCATATTTTATTTTTACAATATGACGAAATGAAAATTCCTTACCATTTGATAAACATGAATTTGTGAAAAAAATAAACTCTTTCGAAAATCAAAAGTATGTAATTCTTCATTAGGAGACGAAAATATCCCCCGTTTTAAAAAAAAAACTTGAAGTTATTGGTTATTAAAACGTTGACTTAACCTTATATTACAATGGTTACCGTATGAATCTTCGATATTCGTAAATAAGACGAATATATAAATAATTAATAAAACTAAAAAAAGTAATTATTTTATTATAATTTATATTCAGCAATTTTGGCCTATCATTGGTTAAAATTTCCC